GTGGCTGGGGCGTGCCCTTGGGGTATTGTCCCAGGTGAGGGGAGCCACCCTCTCCCCCCACCGCTCTCCCTCCCTCCCTCCCTTTCTCTCTGTCTCTTTCTACCCCCCCACCCCTCTCTGCTTCTTGGTGGCTGTGTCAGTGTCCTGAGCTTCCTTCCTACCCCACTCTTGTGCCATGACGTTCTGCCTCACCTCAGGCCCCAAAGGATGGATCTGCCATCTGTGCACTGAGACCTCTGAACCTGTGCCAATAAACTTTTTTTTCCTCTGAAATTGTTCTTGTCGGGTCTTTTGGTCACAGCAGAAAAAAACAAAACAAAACTGACTGAAACAGGAAGGTAACCTCCCCTGTGAACGCTCCGGGTCTCCCCAAACTAACAGGGCAGCGTGGGCCCAGCTGCCCACTGCCCCTTCTCCCCTTCACTTAAAAGGTGGGCTGGAGACCCCCAGCCCTCCTGCACAGCACCTCTTGTGCAAGACTCCAGAGGGCTCTTCCAGCCTGGACCCAGAGGGTCCCAGCCTGGTCCTGCAGGCAAACAGAAGGCAGCCTTTCCTGGGGTGGTGGGTCCCCTAGCCCTTCATCTCTCCCAGCGTAGGTGTGTGCTGTGGGTCCACTGTTTCACACGCCTGTGTGATGTGTGGCCTCACCTGGACTCAGAATGGACCCTTGTCCCCACCTGCCAGGGGCTGCCCATCCAACATCAGGCCTCCTTCCTATTCCATTTCTGGTCTAAGGAGTGGGCTGTGGGGGACCTCATGGTTTTGCCTGTGTGGCCACCGAAGACACCATGACTGGGGCAGAGTACTGGGGACCCCTGTGTCTGGCCCTGCCCCTACCCAGGGCTGGGCATGGTCTGTTCCACTTCTCAGCTTGGCAAACAGAGGCTCTGCCTTCTTGTTCAGGGAGCCAGGCTCAGTCTCAGAGGTGTGTGGGTGGGCTTTTACCCTGGACTTGGCCCCTGGGGGATGACCCTAGGTCACGCCTGCCCCATAGGTCCCTCCTGGCCAAGGCCCACACAGAGCCAAGTACCAGTCCCCACCTGTGTTTTCCTGGTCCCTGGAAGGCCCATCCAGTGGACCTTAAAAATAGCTCTGGGCCCATGAGCAGGTGTGGCCCATGGGCACAGAGCTGGGGCTCTCCTACAGGCAGAGAGGCCAGCAGGGCCAGTGCTGCACGGGAGCCCCATTGGATGTCCTGCTGAGAGGGGCAGCCTCACAGAGAACCTGGGGCCTCCACCTGCCTGTCCCCAAAGCAGGTGTTTCCCCAGAAGGGGGCTTGAGGAGCAGGGCAGATCCTGCCTCTGGGGACCCTGCTGCACCCCAGCTCACGGCATCCTTGCCCTGCAGTGGCGTGGACACCATGCACAGTCAGTCCCACAGGGTCACCCTGTCCTGCTGTTGCCGTGGTGACAGGAGCCAGGTTGGCCTCCCTGGATTGGGGAAGAAGGGAGGGGGGGATGGAGGGCAGCCCCGGATCCTCTTAGTCTCTCTCTCTCTCTCTCTTTCTTCTTCTTTTTTTTTTTTTAGGGAGAGAGAATTTTAATATTTATTTATTTTTTAGTTCTTGGCGGACACAACATCTTTGTATGTGGTGCTGAGGATCGAACCTGAGCCGCACGCATGCCAGGCGAGCGCGCTACCACTTGAGCCACATCCCCAGCCCCAGTCTCTCTCTCTCTCTCTCTCTCTCTCTCTCTCACACACACACACACGTCCGTGCACACACATCACCACTCACACACACAGGTACTCTTGCTCAAGACAACTTGGGAACACACAGATTTCATGCCAAGCTGGGCGTCACAGAGGGGACAGTGGGGTGAGTACACCTGAGGGGTGCCTCCCCCACACTCTCCCAGCTACCCTTCTCTGTCCTGTGTCCTTTAGACATTGTGGGCCCTCTTCTCCCTTCCCTGGGGTCTGTCCACCCCAGTCCCACGCCAGTGATGGGGTCTCCTTAATCTGTGTCCAGTTGCCCCTGGACGGACCACAGGCTACCCCACACTGTCATGGCCATCTTTGACATCTCTCCAGCTTGGGCTGGGTCCAGTTTCTCACTGTCCCTCCCCCACCAAGGCTTGTGGCTGTGTCACCTCTCATGCCTCCTTCCCAAGGGCCCCCTTTATTCTCTTCCAGCCTGGTTGGGGCTCCAGTGTGTGCCCCTCAGCTATCAGGGTCAGTCCCAGTGACAGTCAGGCGTAGTAGGACACCAAGCTCCCTGACCTTGGTGTCCACTGCAGGACTCCTGGCCTGGCCTGGGCTGATTCCTCCCCAGTCCTCAAGGCCCGGTTGGCACTGGTTCCACACCTTGGCCCCTGGTGCTCCAGGCTGGGCACTGTGTAGTCTAACCCCTCCTGAGCGTGGCCCTGACCAGCTGGGTCAGCGCCATGCAGGCCCCCTGCACACCCTGTGCGGGCACCCAGGGTGGCTGCCCGGTGACGCTGACTGGGAGTGGTATTCTCAGGACACAGAAGGAACAGGTGGCACCCTTTCCCCTCCTGCCTCCACACTCCTTGGCACAGCCGCTCACCCGGCGGGGAGAAGAGCTGGAGAGGCTGGTTGGGTTTGGCAACAGCTCCCAGAGGCCTGGGAGAGGGCTCAGTAGGAACTGGGAAGGCAGCCTGCGTGAACTCTGGCCCAGCTGTGGCCCTTCTTCCAGCCTGTGCCAGAGGCTGCGGTGCCACCTCCCTGCCCAGCTGAGGCCACGTAGGGTTGGAAGCTGTTGCTCCCTTGGTGTTACCCTGCTGCCATTGAGCGGTGCTCACCCCAAGCCACCCTTTAGCCTGAGCGTATGTGTGTGGATGGCCACCTGTCCTCACCTGATCCTGCCAAGCAGGGTGCCATGGAATATCCAGGCTCAAATAGGGTCCCTGACAGCCGGGTGGGCAAGGTGACCCCAGCTGGATTCAGCAGCCAGCTTGAACCGGGACTGCAAGGGCCCTGTGGCAGCAGGCCTGAACTGGGCATTGGGTGGGGCAGGTGCTTCTCCATCAAGCACTGAGGCCTCCGGTTAGGGCCAGGCTACCCGCAGCTTTGGGCTGGACCACATTAGGCCACCTTGGTCAGCACCTCCTGCAGTGCCTTCCCTGGCTCACCTTTGGGGAACATCCCCCGATCCCAGCCTGGGTTTCCTCTGCCCAGGCCTCGACCTGCCGCTGACCTGGCCTGGAATGGCAGCTCATCCCCAGCCCCTCCCATCCTTCATCTCCCTGTCTGCAGAATGGGGCCTGTGGCAAGCCTGTGGCTGACAGGCACTTCCACCGCACACAATAGGTGCCTCATAGGTGTGGCTAAGGAGGATGTAGCTTTCACTGCAGGCACAGACCCCATAACTTCATCAATAGAGTCCTGTGGCTTCCTAGGACAAGTTGGCCTCAGGGCCCAACATGCGCCAGTCACCTCTAGGGGAGATGCTCAAGGCCAGTGAGCTACCGCTGGTGGGAGCCAGGGTAATTCCTCCCACTTGTTCTACAGGGTCCACGGGGGCTGAGGGTGCAGGGTTGCCCCTGCTGACACACCCTGACCCCTTGAGTGGCTGAGACTCCAGGTGCCACAGCAGCAAATCTCCAGGGATCCAGAAGGGTTTGCATGTGGCCCCAGGGGAGCTCAGAGCCTGCAGGCCCAAGTAGGCAGGAGCATAGCTCCCCTCACTCGGGGGCTCCTTGGAGGGGAACCTAGCTTTCCTGAGTCTCCAAGTTTGGGTAGAATAGGGGGCAGGTGGGGGCAAAGAACTTGCACAGAGGCCCAGCACCTGGCTAGGGCTGGGGCCATAACTGGCCAAGGGTTGGGATCAGGGCTGTGCAGTTTGGAGTCAATCAGGTGGTTTCCCAGAGGGGTAGGGGCTCATGACCTGAGTCCTAGCGGCTTCCGGAACCCTGGAGCCTGGAACTTGCAGCAGCAGTGATGAGAAGTTCTGAAGCTGCTGTGGATGGTCCTAGGACTGGCCCCAGGTGCTGCCTGGACCACAGCAGGTCACAAAGGAACCCCTCTCTTGGTGAACCCTAGGAATCACAGCCTCAGCAAACATTCCCCCAAATGTGGGCTTGGACATGATTATGACCTTGGATGTGCACGTTTAGTGAGCACTTTGCTGCATACCTGCCTGGGCTGCCCATGTCAGCCCCGGAGGGCACTGTTGTCCCACCCCCTTGTGCATGTGGTCAGAGACAGCAGTGGCCTTGGTAGGAGGAAGAACTTCAGGAGCAGGATGAGACTATGCCTGGCAGCTGGCCCTGCCGTGCACTCAGAGAGGAGTGCTGCTGCCAGAGCATGAACTCTGCCCAAGAACAGGTCAGGCCTGGACGGAGCAAGACAGAGAGCAGCTTCAGATGAGGCCCAGCGGGCCCCTCCCTGCCAGCCCACACAGTCTGGGGCTTGCAAGTCTGTGGGTCTCCATCTTTAATGGTTCAGAAATAGGCCGGGGCATGGTGGGGGCAGCCAGTGGTTCTAAGCAAGAACAAGTATGACCCAGAGTTCTGCTGGAAGAGCACTAGAATACCACCGGTGTATTTCCCAGAGCTCAGCACCTACGGGGCACCTGATGCAGGAGGCCCCCTCACCCGGCCCCTCTCTTCTCAGGCCTGCGGGCAGGGACTGGATCCAGCAGCCACAGCCTGGAGCCAGGTCAGGCTGGGGCAGGTCCTGTGGGAGCCCATACAGCTGATGCTGCCTTCAGGCTGTGCTCTGTTGTTCCCCAGGGAGCTTCCAGCCCCACCTCTGCCAGATGGACCCAGATCTGGCTCCTGGGAGGGGCTCCCGGCAGGCAGTAAGTGGCACCAGGAGCATCTGGGTCCCAGGGTGCAGCAGTGCGTCAGGGGCTGGGGGAAAGAGGAGGCTTGCAGCAAGGGTGCCCGCTCTGGGGCCAGCTGGACGATGTACACACGGCCCAGTGCTCACCTGGGAAAAGTTGTGGACACAGGTGCATTGTTCCCTGCACCCTGGTCCAGACTGAGTAGCCACAGAGTGCTTGGGATGTCCTCCACACCAGACTGGGTGTCCCAGCTGCTGGTTGAGAGTACTAAGCATAGCACCTCTCCAGGACACCCCAGGATGAAGAATGGAGCTGTGGCGGCCTCCCCGCGAAGGGCACCCTCTGGGGGATGTCAGTCAGGGGCCCTGCCAAGCTCAGCGGGCAGTTCTTCCTGGCCCTGTCCTGCTTTCCTTGAGCCCCCATCGATCTGTGCGTCCCTGTGCTCTGCTGGCCCGAAGGACCTTCCAGAGGCTAAAGGAGGCAGGGCCCAGGCTGCCAGAGCTCTGGACTCCTCCTGCCCCATGAGTGTAGGCTGGAGTCTGCCTTTGGGAGTGCTCGGAGGGGTCCACTGAGGCCTAGGAAGGGAACCTGCCCCAGCCCCATCTCTGACCAAGACTCTGCCAGCCCACTCTGATCCAGGGCCATGAGGTAGGTCCGGGCAGGGCATTCAGTTCAGAAGTGGCTGGACTGTGTTCCAACGGCAGGGCCACTTCCCTGTTCTTGGGAAGTGGAGGGGGTGGGCGGAGAAGCCTCCAGGCCAGCCCAGAAGGGAAGCCAGCCTCTGCTGAGGGGTGCCTCCAGGTCTTGGTCAGCTCACCTCACACACCCTGTGTGCTCTGGGTGCCCAGAGCCAAGCCAACTGTGCTGCCAGGAATGTCCTGGAGAGGTGCTGTGCTTGGTACTCTCAACCAGCAGCTGGGACACCCAGTCTGGTGTGGAAGACATCCCAAGCACTCTGTGGCTGCTCAGTCTGGACCAGGGTGCAGGGAACAATGCACCTGTGTCCACAACTTTTCCCAGGTGAGCACTGGGCCGTGTGTACATCGTCCAGCTGGCCCCAGAGCGGGCACCCTTGCTGCAAGCCTCCTCTTTCCCCCAGCCCCTGACGCACTGCAAAGAGCCAGGCTATCCCAGCCGCCTTGGGGTCACCAGGTAAGTAGGGCACGGCCTCCAGTCTTGCAGCCCTGGACTCCACCTCTCTTCCAGAAAGGAGATGGGTGGCCTCATTTGGGTGGCCAAGGGCTGGACACCTGGGGTCTTGCCAAATGTCCAATGTCCAGATGGGAAGCCTAAGGCCCAGGCAGAGGTCACTCTGTTTTCTTCTCCTACAACCTCAGTGGGGTATCTGAGTCACAGCAAGGATGGGGCAGGACCTCATGGCCCCCCTGTGTGGATCTCTCCACAAGATTCAGGGTCTAGTCCTCTCTCCCTGTGAAATGGTGGCCGGGAGAGCCAGGTTAGGCAAGAGATGGGCAGGACAGGCAGTGAGGGTGTGGGTGGCACTGGTGAGGAAGAAGGGCAGGGCTCTGGCATGCCGGGGAGGGGGTGCAGACTGGTCTCCTGGCCCCGCATTCCTGGCCAGGCACAGGAAGCCCAGAGCTGAGTCACTGCCCAGACATGGAAAGAATGGTAGGAATTCCGCACTTTCACTCTTCCCCATCCCAGCTCCCTGCAGGCCCTGGGCCACTCTCCACCCAGAACCCTCTGCCATTTCTCTGCCTTCTCTGACCTCGGTGGGTGCTTGGGTCCTATAGGACTCACGGCTCGAGGCTGTCCACAGCACACCTGCTTGTGTCCTCGCTGCCTTCTGGAGCCCTCCAAGGACCTGCTGGAGCTGATGGTGCTGCAGGTGTGAGCTGTTTGGGGTTCCCATGCCCTTTGCTCCTGGGTCAGTGCTGGCTAACTTTGTTGAGCCTGCTGCCCACCTGGCTCACACCTGTCCTGTCTGCCCCTCTGCATATTCCCCCTCCCAGCCCGCCTAGTGCTGTCCCTGGCTGGGGGTGTGTTTTCCTGGGATACCAGCCTCTTGGGGAGAGGGTAGGTGGTGGGGGGTTGGGCTGCAGGTAGACCAGGGCATAGGGGTTGAGCAGGCAGCCTGCCCCGCACCCAGCCGCAGGGCCACTGCCACCTGAGCAAGCACCTTTCCTCCAAGACCCCCCCCCATTTTCTGGGTTCAGGACTGAGCAGTGCCAGGAAGAGGAGAAGAAGAACCACAGGGTCCCTCAGGGTCTGATGGGGCCGGGGCCAGGGGCAGGGGTGATCTGCCCTTTGGAGTCCTGACTGACCGCTGCTGCCAACCCCTGTCCGCATCTGCTCAGGAGTCCAGGCACACATCCACCAGGTGATGCTGGGAAGGGGCCCCTGTTTGAGATGGGGGCTGCGCAGAGAAAGAGAACCAGCTTTTTGCTCCGGCTGGTCCCTTGGGGAAAGAGCCATCCAGCTGAGCAGGTGGGTCCGGGCCCAGCATCCCCGGGCACAGAGGTGCCCACCTGGCCCACTCACAGTCACGTCTCTCCAGAACTCCTGCAACCTAGGACATCCGTACCCACACTGGTGCTTGGCCCAGCACGGTGGGATGGGCCACCAGCCCCAGCTCTCCTCTCTGCCTTTTGTGCCCCGGTCTTGGCCACACCCTATCTGGGTGACTTTGCCCGAGGCAGTGGGAGGGAAGCCGCTGACTCTTGGTTTCTGGGACGCACCATTTTGGGGTTTCGACCCGGCCCTGGTGTCTCCCAGGTGGACGAGTCAGCTTCTTTGGGACCCCAGGGCGGAGGCTGCCCAGGGACAGCCAGAATGGCGCTCACTCAGCCATCGCCTGCTGCACCATCCCTACGGCTCCTCGGGCCCTGCCTGTCCCCACAGGCCCGCACCCCTGTCCACTGTCCTGTGCCCCACGGGGCCCTCCTCACTCCTCACGCCTCGGGAGCTGTCTCTGAAGTGTCCCTGCCCTGCTCACAGCCCTTCCCGGCTCCCTGGGTCTCCTCCACTGTCCTCCAACGTGAGGACCACGGGCTCCCCGGGAGGACCTGTCCTTACCAGCTCCCAGGATCCCCCACCAACGCTGTTCGCCCACAGGACCTAACACCTGCTCCTTCCCACCCCATCTCAGCCTCAACCTGGCCGAGAGCCCCTGCTGCTCAGGGCTGGCTGGCAAGCCAAGGGGTGTGTGCCGGGTTGGATTGGGCTCAGGTCTAGGGGTGGGGCCCTCCGTGGTCCTGCATCAGGGTGGACCATAGCTTGTTGTAGTGGGAGAGCAGCGCAGCAGAGCTGAGCACAAGTCCATACCCTCAGACCTGCCCACCAGCCCTGGCCCTGTCCGTCCTCCTCTGGGTCCTAACTTACAGAGGGGAAACTGAGGCTCAGGAAGGCAAAGTGGCCACAGGGGAGCCAGTTTGGGTGGCCACACCTGAGTCAGTCCGGGACCAGGAGTGAGCAGGTAGGGCAGGGCCCTGGCACTGTGGGGCTGGCATCTCTCTGGGAAGGATTTTCGATCAGGGAGGAGGGTGAGGCCACTGCTGGGGCAGGAGTGTCAGGAGGAGCTGTCCTGGACAGGGGGCTTGGGGTGGGAGGAAGTGGGGCAATTCAAGGGAAGAAGGAGCCCGTCCAGCTGGGTTAAGGGACTGCAGCCGAGAGTCTGTCTCTGAGACCCTCGGCAGAGGTGACTAGTGGCCTCTTGGGCATGGAGCCTCTCTGTCAGACCTGGGCAGGGGCAACATGGAGCTGGCCAAGCCACTTCTGCCTCAGGTAGCCGTCAGACTGGCCTTGCCTCAGCCACTTCAAGGGCTCTGGAGGTCACTGACGGAGGCCGGTGGGCGGAGCCAGAGGTGGGGCTGTGGAGCTGGGTCTTGGCCTCCCCAGGGACCAGGCCCCAGCCAGGTCTGGCCTCTTAGTGGGGCCTGTTGGCAACCCAGCCTGATCCCACCCTCTGTGGTATGTCCATGTCCCCATCAATGCATCTCTGACCTGTGAGGGCGGGTGGAGGGCCTGCTTGGGCCCTGCCCACCTGCCTGCCAGACGCCCTCTGGCCTATCTACCAAGGCTCAGCACCCAGACCTGCCCTGCCACTCCCAGTAAGCGAATGCCCCCGCTGGTGGCCACCTGCCCATCATGCTGCCGCAGGTGATGCCCATGACGCAGGCTGTGGCCTCTGTTCCGCCTGCCTCCTGGTGGGCCCCTCCGCAAATCCAGGTGAGCAAGCACAGACACACCCCCACACACCTCCCGCATCTGGTCAGACCAGTTCTGCACACCTGGCCAGTCCTTCCTCTGCTATGACACATGTGTGCCTGCTGTGTCCATGTCCTCACTGTCCTGGTGACCCCCCAGCCTCCATTCCTCACTGGTGAGCTAGGCACTACTGTCCACCTCAAGGCCCTTCGGAGCCTGGGATACACCTCAGAGCTGGGGAAGGGGAAGGGCTGTCCCTAGACTTCCCAGTGCATCTGAGTGGCCTTGGAAGTGCACTCACCCGCCACCATCCACACCCCTGCCCCCTGAGGCCCTTCCAGCAAGGGGCCCGGCCAGGCCCTCTTCTCAGCTCAGCCCATAGGACCTGAGAAGGGGCTGCAGCAGACCCCTAATGTGTATGGAGCAGGCCAGCAGGGCAGCTGCCCCACGGGATCCTCAGCTATAGACAGGGGTGGGGTCTCTGAGCAGGGTTGATGGGTGGGGCATGGTGGACAGACCAGTGGGGCAGGGCAGCCTGGGATACAATGGGCCCTTGTCCCTCACCAGGCTCCGGGCACCCTGAGCAAACACACACCCTGTTCTTGCCGCACACCGTGTCCCCAGCTGGCCGTGGCTCAGGGCCAGTGGGCAGGGCAGCCCAGTCAGGACGTGCAGCACGAAGGTCCCTGTCCCAAGCCTGCAGACTCCACGGAGCCCTCCTCGCCACACCTCCTGGGTGCTGGGCCCTCCCCTGCCTAGGCTTCCCGGGTCGGGGGAGGACTCACCACCTCCCCGCTGTCTCCACTGGCTCTGGGGACCTGGCCTTAGCCCTGGGCTTCCTCTGGAAGTCTCGCGGTGACAGAGGCCAGGCTGCACAGTCCTGGTTCTAGTCCCTGAAGGGGACATCCTTCCTGGGTGCTGATGCTGTCTGGACAGTGAGTGGCAGCCACGGAATGACCCTGCCAGGGCTCCTGGCTCCCTCCCCGAGAGCTCTCCATCAGCTTGTCCCAGAACTGCCCCCAAGGCAGGGTGGCCAGGTCCCCAATCTACACTAGAAAGAGCCCTGGTCAGGAAAGGGGGTCAGGACAGGGACAGGCTCTTCCCCAAGGGCCTGGGCAGGGGCTGTGGGAAGAAGGGGTCCACCAGGGCTGGGCTGCTATTTGGGCCGGTGGGAACCTCAGATTCTGCCCAGCTGGGGGGACAGAGGGCTGGAGGGCAGAGGTCACTGGGCGATGGGCGCAGGGGGTGCTGGGTGGCTTCCACATCCAATGGCCTTCTCTCTGCCTCACATCACTCCAGACACAGGAAACACCGCCCGTTTACACTAAGTGACGCGCAGAGACATCTCACCACCTGGTGACAGTGTACCTGAAATGGACCCAGAGGATGCCAGGGAAACACATCAGAGGGGCAAACAGCGAGAGAGCACATGCCCAGGGCCCAGGCTGGAGGGCACCAGGCCTTGAGGGTTCTGCAGCAGGAGCTGAGGGCCCTCAGGGACCCCCTGGCCACCCTGAGGCACAGATGCTAATAGGGCCCAGGCATGAGAAGGACCCCAAGGGAGGGCCATGTCACCCTGCCCACAGGGCCGCTCCATGGGTCCCAGAGCTGCCATCTGTTCCCAGGACTGCTGGTGGCCAAGCTGGCCAGTCTCATGAAGTGTCAAGTGCTGAGGCAGCCATAGGGTGGGTACTGTGCTCAGCTTGAGCCCGCCTCATGCTGGCTGGGTGCCTGGACGCTGCACAGGGGCAGGACAGGGTACACTGAGACTCTGTTGAGCCCACAGGAAGACAGAAGAGCCTCTGTCACTCAGTGACCCAGTGCCAGCCACACTAACCACGGAGTACATGGGCCCAGAGGCTAACCAGCCCCAGGGCAGGGCCCTCACTTATAGCCTAGACACCCTGAGCCTGGGCCCCAGGGACACAGGGAGCTGACACAGCCCTGTGGGGGACAGCTGTGGCAGGCTCAGCAACCAGGGAGGTGGCAGGCTGAGCAGGGCTGAGGCCCGGCCTGTGGGGTACAGGGTCGAGAGGCCCACATCTCATGGCTCACAGTCCAGCACAGCAAGGAGGTGTACCGAGGCCTAGGTCCTCTGCCTTGTGCCACAGCATTCCAGTGTTCACGTCAGGGGGGCCCGGGATGCGGCTGGCAGGGGCCAGGCTGGGTACTGAGGCTCAGCCACAGCCACGGTGCGCCCCCACCCCCAGCTGGGCAGGGCCAAGTCCCAGCCAGGCCAGGAGCTGTGCCCTGTTAATGAGGGAATGTTCTTCAGCTGGGGGGGGGGGGGGGCTCCGGGAGGCAACCAGCCAGGTCCACCTGGACAGACAGGGCCAGGAGGCACATTTGCATGACAAATGGGTTCCCAGGAAACCTCTGTACTTCCCAGGTGACAGCACTGTTACCTCCTCACCAGCCACAGCAGGCACTGAAGTTGGCCACACAGGGCTGAGTCTGGCTATTTTCAAGTATGTCCCTGCCCATCAGAGGTCAGGCCCAAGCCCACTTGTGCCCCACACGCCATAGCCCCCGAGGCCCTCTCCCTGCTGGGGACAGCCTGCTGAAGCCCAGCCCTGGGCTACCGTCAGGGTCCAGGCCCCACTGGGTCTCAGAGTATTTCCTCATCTGTCAGGAGGACCTCATCTGACCAGCCTGAGTGTCAGGGAGGGTGGGCACCCCAGGCCCAAGGACGACAGTGCCCAATGCCCAGCACCCCTACGAGCTATTGAAGGGCTCCGTAGGTCAGCCGGGCAGGAAGTCTGCCTATAGGGACGGACTCCCTGTGCTCCCTGGTTCTGAGCAGACACCAGGGTCTCTCCCCTCTGGGAAGCCAGGGGAGGACTGGGTGGGTAGAGTGCAGACGGACTTTGGGTGGTGGGAGCCCAGGCAGGGGTAGAGTTAGGGGACCGGGGTGGGCAGACACCCTGCTGCCTGAGGGGAACTGGTAGGTGTGGGAAACGACGCAGTCCCAGCACCTTTGAGCTCCCAAGGCCAGAGGTGGGGGAGGCCCCTCCAAGGGGAGAGAGGCCCAAAGAAGCTTCTGTCCAGCGGCAAAGCACTTACGTGGCTTGTGCCAGGCCCTGGGCTCAATCCCTAGCACAAGTGAAGAAAGTGTGTGAATGTAGACATTGTTAAAAGAGCTCGGGACCTGTGCAGTCACGGCGCGGGGACAGGTCACCCAGCAGAGCCCTGCCAGCACCTGCAGGCCCGCCCCGCTTGCTCCTCTTCCTAGCGCCCTACTGTGCCTCACCATGCCACCCCTCGTGCGTCTGCTGGGTCCTTCCTGAGACCCCGTTGCTGAGGTACCCAGCTCAAGCTGCAGCAGGGAGGTTGCTTCTCTGCCTGACTGCAGGCCCTGCTGGCTGCTGGGTCTGCAGGGTCCAGTCACAAGGAGAATCCAGGGTCCCTTGTTCAGAAAGCAGGGGACAGTGGCCTTGTGAATGCTGAGCTCTTCTCCTCAGCCTGTCCTGTGTCTTCTGCTGCGCAGTTCTGAGTGAGGAAAAATTAAATTTTGAAGACATTATTGTAAATCTCACCATTTATCTTTATATGGAGCAAGGCGAGTTTTAATGCCAGTGTTGGAGCCCGTGGGATCCTGGCGACGGCATGGCTCCCACTCCCGCTCACCCACGCGTGGTCGCTCTAACTAGGCCACTAGACAGGCTGCGCCTCACTAACTTGGCTGGAAGCTGGTTTTATTTTGTTTTGTTACTGGGGACTGAACCCAGGGGTGCTTATCCACTGAGCCACATCCCCGCCCAGACCTTTTTTTTTTGTATTTTATTTAGTATTTATTCTTTTTCAGTTATTGGCAGACACAACATCTTTGTTGGTATGGGGTGCTGAGGATCGAACCCGGGCCGCACGCCTGCCAGGTGAGCGCGCTAATGCTTGAGCCACATCCCCAGCCCCTTTTGTATTTTATTTAGAGACAGGGTCTCGCTGAGTTGCTCGCGTGGCCTTGCTAAATTGCTGAGGTGGCCTTGAACTCGCAATCCTCCTGCCTCAGCCTCCCAAGCTGCTGGGATGACAGGCGTGTGCCACGGTACTCGGCAGGAAAACACAGATTTTTCCATGTGACCACTTTGAAGTGTACAGTCCAGTGGCATTGGGCCCGGCCCCAGCACTGTGCGGCCACCCCATCATTTCCAGGGCCTGTCATCCCCCCCCAGCTGAAACCCTGTCCCCTCCCCAGCTGCTGGGACAGCCATTAACTCCCTGTCTAGGAACGTGGTGCGACGACGGTCTGAATGGGTCTCCCAGGGCTTGATTCCAGTTGGTGGTGTTGGGAGGAGGGGCCGAGAGGGAGGTGTCAGTCACAGGAGCTCAGATTGGCGCAGTCACCAGACAACTTGTCTGTCCGTCCCCCTCTCCCATCTTCCCCCCTTCTTCCCCCCTCTCCACCCAGAGATGGTTCAGCCAGAGCCCCCAGCAGGAGCAGCCCGTCTGCGTGGACCCCCTGGTCTTCAGAACTTCAGACAGTCTGAGGCCTGGGGCTCCGCGGTTGGCATTCTGAGCCTGGATCTGCCTGGGTTCCATTCCCACCACCAAGGCACGAAGGCCCAGTTTCTCCAAATCCCTGTGGTCACTTGCTGCTGCCTGTTTTCTGATGGCAGCCTCCTGGTGGCCTCTCATTGCAGTCCCCAGGTTCACTCCCCTGACACTCTTTCCTGTCCCCCAACCAGCTCCGATCACAGACACCTGACCCCGTGGCCTCCCCACCACATGGCTGGGGAAACTACCTACTCTTCTGCTCCCTGACCCACACCGGGCTGCCACACCTGCTTGGTGCCCCTACAGGCTCCCTCTGTGGGTCACCAGCCCCCCACAGCACCTCATAGACCACCTCTTCTGGGGACAGCCTCTCTGCACCTCCGCGTGGAGTCCAGGCCCATCCTCACAGCGTGGTGCCATGGCTGCCCTCCACTGGGCTGGCCCAGAGTGCCCAGCCCCCTCCTTCCCTGTCCCCTCTCTTGCTGGGCTCAGGACCCCCTGTCTGGACCCCTCCTGTAACCCAGGCCTCACTGGTGGGACTTTCCTCTGCTTCTCTATAGCAGATGCCACTGGCCCAGGCTCACGGTTTCTTCCCCTGCCCTCCTGAGGACGTCCTCCAAGTGTCCCTCTGTTCCAGTCCTCATTTACCTCCCTCCCTAGCCCTCCTGCCACCCATCATTGACCAAAGTGAAGGGCCAGCGCCCCGTTCTGGGTCCATAACCCTCCCCTCCCCTCCCTGTCCCTGCCAGGGCTCGAGCCAGTGCCCAGCTCTCCTTCAGCTGCAGATGACCTGTTCTCATAGGGCCTGTTGATTAGCTCCTGGTGTCTGGGGCAGACCCAGTTGTGGTTTGGCTACCTCTCCGTGCCTCAAGGTGCCACCTGCTGAGAGTCAGGGTGCTGGCTGGGTTGTCCTTTCATCTGAAGGGTATATGCGTCCTAGGTGCTGCGTGAGTGGGCCTGGGGAGCCCCCTCGATCCCATAGCAGCTGAGGCACAGGCACCCGGCCAGAGCCCTGTGGTGACCCCAGGCTGCTCCCCCATGGCGGCAGGCTCCTCTCTCTGGGCTCCATCCCACAGCCTGCAGGTCCAGGGACTGAGGCTTTCTTCTATGTGGGATGACAGGACCCCTGACACAGGGATCTGGACACGGAGGCCAACTCTCGGCCTGGAGGCTGTGGTGGGCACTAGGGGTCCTCACACTGCCCACTCTATCAGGTGACCTCACCACAGTGGGCGAGTCCATTGGGCCCTGACCCTCCTCTCTGGGGCCTCAGCCTGGACCCAGCTGCCCTTACAACACTGCCCTGCACGGGCCCACTGTGGCGGGGGGACAGCTGCGGCTTTGTGTCTCCAGAAGGGAGGGCGGTGGCCTCAGCCACCCAGACACCTCGGTGCTGCCTGCAGCTCCAGAGTCACATGCTCTGCCTGTTGGGCCTTATCCCCTCCCACAGGCAGCCTCTGTTGCCTGGGAGGGTGTCTGCGTGGGGCCCAGCGCTGCGGAGAGCAGCTCGCACACACATTTCACACACACACACACACACACACACACGTCCATCCTCCGCCAGGCGGAGGTGCAGGGAGGAGCTGGAGGGCTGGGTGGACGGTGGTTCATTCATTCACTCCCTGTCCAGTGAACCTCTGGGGAGCCTTGGGTCTGCACACTGCAGAGGATTGGAGAGGTGCCTGCCTGAGTGTGGTATGGTGTGGGTGTGTGAGCATGTGTGTCCCATGCGTGTGCACGTGAGGACACTGAGCACAACTGTGGCGTGTGTGGTGTTGGTGCATATGTGAACACAGGTGTGCCCAGCCACCCACATCAGGAAGGAACCACTAGTGAACAGAGCAGTGTCTAGGCCATGGGTGGATTCTGGCCTGGGCAGCAGGGACACAGTGAACTCTGACCCCAGGATCATACCAGGTGGGGAGAAGGTATGCATCTTGGGGGCCTCTGGGTGTTTCGGCCCCTCCCAAGGCCTGGCCAGCTGTCCCTGGCACACAGCTGTGCCCAGGCCCTTGCTCCTTGGGTTAGCTCCTGGACACCCTGGGGGCATCACGCCATCAGGACCTGACAGAGACCGCTCACACTCACGCTCCTGGGCTCCTCTAGGCCGGCCTCGGGCAGCTGCACTCAGGCAGCTACAAGCCCGGGGCTCAGCTCCCCTGCACCCGGGCACCTGGAGCACTGAAGGTGTTCCTTCCTGTGTGACTGGGAGCACCACCGGCAGGAGATGCTCTCCAGGAGACCTACCCCTGCCCATGAACTTTGACAGGCTGATCTGTCCCAAAGCTGGTCGCCTGGGCACCATTCAGAGGAATGGACTAAAAGTGGATGGACAGAGCAGCAGCTGATGGCTGGCAGAGGCTGCTGAGAATCAGCGGAAGCTGGGGCAGGCGGCCGGCGGGTGGCTAGAAGGTCATGGAAACCCTCGCTTCCTGTTTTCCCAACAAAGGACCTCTGTCCCACCAGGAAGGCCACTGGCCAGCGGCACCGGACGCGCCTTTTCCGTAAACAGGGTTGTTTTCCCTTTTCCCTCTCTATACAATAACAGCAGCCCCCAATTCCCCCATCCTGTTGCCAACCACAGGGGCCAGGCCGTCTGAGCAGGGAAGGCTATCCTGGGCCAGGCAGCCACCCTGTTGCAGGAGGACCACAGCTTGCCTGCTTGCTGAGGCCTTGGGGTCAGAGCATGGGACGGGAGCTCAGTGACGCCTGGCCCATAGGGCAGGTGGGAGGCTGAGCCAGCCGTGGGGTCCCTGAGTGGGAGTCAGTGGGTGAAGGCTGTGCTGAGCCTGTGTCTCCATGGGGCTTGATAGGACCTTGTGATCCTCATGCCTGACTTGGCAGTATCCAGAGCAGAGAGCCAGGCCTGGGTCCATGTAGTGGCTGTACCCCTGGGAGTGGGCAGGGGTCCAAAGGCCTTCCTCCAGGCTGGCTTCGGCCATCGGGGTGCTCTGCCAGGTGGGCTGCAGTGTCTGCCTCACAAAGAGTTCAAGAGTGAGGGAGAGCCTGCAGGGCCAGGCTCCTGAGTGACCCACAGGAGTGGGCTGGGCTGTGAAGCAAGCCCAGCCAGCTGAGGTAGGACTGGGTCAGCCTCCCACCCCAGGTGGTGAGGGGCACAAGGATGGCCATGCCCCTGTCTGGAGGGCAGGTGGGGTGGGGCCCCTCCATGCACTTTGCCCTAAAGAGGCAGGAACGGGCAGGGTGCCCAGCATGCTACTCGGAGCGCGCAGTGTGCAGTATGCAGTGTGTGTGGGTGATTGTGTGCACCCAGGCACAGGGTCTGATGAGCCTATGTGAGGGGCTGGGGGCTATTTATAGCAAATGCTTCTCCCAGAGAGCTATTAATAGTGAGGGCGGAGGGTGAATGGACAATGTGGCCAGCCTGCTGCCCCTGGTGGGGTGGGGGCTGGGCAGGAGACACCCGGGGCTGGTACCAGCTCCCACCCAGGCGGTCAGACAAGGGCCACTGTTGTCTGGGCAGCAGCTGGGCCAGGGGTCCAGGCTCACCTGGGGCAGCAGCTAGAGAGCTAACTCTCCAGCTACACTGAACCCTAAGAGGGTGCTAATAGTGAGGCCCGGGACAGGGGGTAGCGGGGGGGGGGGGGACCCAGGGTGCAGCAGGCTGCTGAAAACTGGGCCTGGCTCTCACAGATAGCACGTGGGGTGGGGAGGGGCGGTGCTGTGCTGTGCTGTGGCGGCTGAGCTCCTGCCCTCCAGGCCCTCCAAACTGACCCTGCCGCCACCTGCCCCACCTTTGGCAGGTTAACCAAGTGTCAGCAGTGACAAGTGATGTGGGAGGAGTCAGCTGGGCCCTGAGCCACCGGAGGAGCGGGGGCCGCCCCAGGCGGGGGTGGCGTGGGGGGGTGGGCCTCACAGCCCCTGCTCTTACGCTGACTTTTTGAATCTGCAAAAGTGATTCAGCTGAAAAGGTCAGACCCGGAACCCACAGTGGGCGCAGCCTGAAGAAGGGATGTGCCTCAGCCCTGGCGAGCGTCCCAGCCTCAAGGGGAGGGGTGGGCGCCCCTGTTTCTTTGGGCCCAGTCGGGTTGCAGACGACGCACAACAAAGACGTGCGCCCGCTGGCGGGCGCGATGTCCAGGGCCCGCGTGGCGCGCTGGACGGGCGGGACCGCTGCAGCTCTGCGACGTGCTCTGCAGACCCCTGGCTTCCTCAGGGCTCCGGAACCTAGACTTGGTGCCATTCTGGGGTCAGCGTCCGCGGGACTCCCGAGAACGCCGGCCCCGGGTCACCTGTCGCCAAGTGCTTTCCAAGAATCCTCAGCCCCGAAAGCTCCGGTGTCGCCGCCACCGTCACCACCGCCGCGTTGTTATTGGCTCCCAAGAGGGGTTCCCGGAGCCGCTGGGCGGGGGAGAGGCGCAGGGGCGGGGCGAGCCCCCGGAGCTGCGCACGGCCCGCAGCCGGCGCCCCCCTCGTTCCTCGGGCCCTGGGGAAGCCGCGGACGCTTCCGGCGCCGCCCCTTCCCGCCAGCGCCGCGCCCCGCGCTTCCCGCCTGCCGCGCCCCCGCCCGGACTTGCGGCGCAGGGCGGTGGCCCTTCGGTGGCGCGCGACGCAGACTTGGGTCGCCCGGCGGAGTGGGGACCGCGAGGCGCGCGCTCAAGGAGGGCCGGGGGCGCGCGTCCGTCGCCTCCTTGCCATGGGGTCTCCAGGGCGCCGACCAGCGGGAAGGGACTCTCAGGGGTCGCCCCTCTGTCGTCCCACCGCTGTGGGATCCGCGCGCCCCGGCTGAAAGTGCGCAGAGGCCGGAGGCCAACCTTCCCTCCAGCGGCGGAGGGCCTGGGGGGGGGGGGGCGCAGCCCGGGGCGCCCCCCCCGCACAAGATGCCCGGCTGCAGGCAATGGGTGCCAAAGGACCGGGTCCTTGACAGCGGGTGGGATACTAAAACATCTCTCCGAAGACCCCGGGGATCGGAGGCAGGTCTTTAGGAGGTCTTTCTGCTCCAGCTGGCCGCAGTCCCTCCTGGTGCAGAGCCAGCCCCAGTGGGCATTTTGAGAGCTCGCTGAGCCAGGCACAGAGGGAGTGTGTCCTGAGGGGCTTGCAGTCCCCGCAAAGGACCCAGGCTGAACCCAACCACATGCAGACACTGTCCCCAGGAACCAGGCCCTGCTTCTTCCAGCCTACTGCCCCAGAGCCAGTGATGCTCATTTTCAACCCCTGGGATCTACTGGAGCATGGCCAGCAGCCTGACACCCCTGTGGGTTTAACAACTCTTGGAGTGTGGACAGTGCCACAGGCCCCTGTGCTCCCCCAGTCACTCCACAATGATCCCCTCCACACCTACCTGTCACTGCTGTCCTGGCCATAAGGATGGGGGATTCCCACAGGACAGGGAGGTGTCCAGAGGGTGGACATTATGGCAGCCAGGTCATACCACCAATAGAGTGTGCACAGCCACCAGGGGTCATTTCTCCAGTCCTAGAACAGAGAGGGACAGATATACCTAACCATAGTAGCAGAAAAGTCTAGTGCAGACCTCTGCAACTGTCCTCGACAAAGAGTAAACCACAAGTGTGACATCCTGGAAGTTATTTTAAGACCCAAAAGATGCTAGGGTGGTGGTCCCTGGCATCTTCGTAGATGTCTGGCCCCTACAGGGGCATGTGGGTGGGCCCAGAGGGAGGGCACTGCAAGAACAACCCAAATAGCACCAGACCTGGGTCTTCAGGAGAGCGAGTTTCCCTGGCTCCAGAGCTGTGGTGTGGCCCCCACCCAGCAGGAGGGTCTGCAGGCTCATGGCACACGGAGTGCACACGTGGCCCTTCCCCAGGGCTGTGGTGATTCTCACCCTCCCAACAGTCTGGAGCCCTGCACTGAGGGATATCCTGGAACATCACACAGGCCTCTGTGCCAGTGTCCCCGCTAATGACACCAGATGGCAGAGAAGTGGCCAGCACCCTGGGTACTTGTGGGACACATGCACTGGAATGAGGATCCCCTCTGAGCAGGGTCAACATGGCTGCACCCTGCGACCTTCACTACAAAGAATGCACAGCATGCGAAGGCAGCAGTGGCCATGAAGCAGGAGCTCCACACTTGGGGCTGATGCAGCCCAACACTGGGGACACCAAAGGGCAACTCTGACTGGGGCACCCAAACAGGAGCAGCCTGCACACAAGTGTCCCCTGTGACCTGACCCTGTAGACGGACACTCTAATGGGTCAACCTGGGTTCAAAACCAGCCTCAGCAACTAGGTTTATGGCCAAGTGACTGTGGAAGGCCCTGCAGACAGCCCAGATGCAGAGCAAGGCTGACCCTGGAGGAGAGGCAATGCCTGGCCATAGGACACTCGTGACAGTGTGCTTGGACTGACCATGGCACCAGCTCTTTTGGATCTGCCCTCTGTAAGTTTGGATGGTCCAGGGATGGTCATTACGGGCGGAGAGGGTGCGCCTGGGAGCGCAGAACACAGTGCGCAGTGGTGCAGCCTGCATGGACCTGCCACGTGGCACCAGTACCCCTGCACCTCTGCTTGGCCCTGGGCTCAGGCAGTGGCCGGACAGGGGTTCCTATGGCCAGCTGACTTAGGGAGAGTCAGGACCAGCATGCGGGTAGTGGCCATCTGCCAAGTAGAATAGTGGATAAGTGGCCTGTCTGGCTGTTCAGGGGACTGGTCAGAGAAAGATGGAGCTGTCAGGATGAGGGGGTTGGGGAGAGCTATGCAGATGGCCTAACACACAGATGTGGACTTTTTGTTTTTGATACTAGGGACTGAACTCAGAGGTACTTAGCTAACCACTGAGCCACACTCCAGCCCCCTTTTTATATTTTACTTAGAGATGGGGTCTTGCTGAGTTGCTTAGGGCCTTGCTAAGCTACTGAGGCTGGCTTTGAACTCGTGATCCTCCTGCCTCAGCCTCCCAAGCCCCTGGGATTATAGATATGTGCCACTGCACCTGGCCCTTTTTATTTTTTATTTAGTGACAGGACCTCACTAAGTTGCTGAGGCTGACCTCGAACTTGCAATCCTCCTGCTTCAGATTTCAGTTGCTGGGATTACAGGTGTGGCCACTGTGTCTGGCTAGATATGGACAATTTAAATTCCTTTTAACACCCACCAGAATACACCACCATGCAGGAGGCTTTGGATAACCAGGTAGAGATAATAGCCTAGCAGGTGACACAGCCAGCCAGCCATCAGTCTCTGTGCTGGCACAGTGACCACACGACCATGCTGTGAGAGGACAGAGGCCATGCACCCACTGGACAGTGAGGGTGCCTCAGGGTGAGAAGGCACTGGTCACTGCAGGAGAGGTGTGACTGTCCCCACAGAGCAGGTCTGTGTCCCAGCATGCCCCTTCTTTCCATCCACCTGGGCTGGGGTCCAGCTGGCCACCCAAAGGCTTCCATCAGCATCTCCCTGCCGTAGCGGGCACCCTGGTCATTCTGCACTGTCCTGTGCACATGAAGGGGGTGAGCACATCCCTGGCCCCACTGACTCCCTCCCTCACCCAGTCATAGGAACCAGTGTCTCCAGACATTGTTCCCAGCTCCTGGGGACATAGTGACTACCTGCTGAGAATGTGGGGCTCACAGAGACCTCAGTCTCCAGAACCCCTGCATCAAGACACACTCTACAGGAGTTAGTGTGGGGGAGTGGTGGCAGGGCACTTCCAGAAGCTTCCAGCCCCACAGGCCAAAGGCCAAGGAAGGCCAGTTCTGCTGGGATGAAGCCTGGCTGTGTGCCGGACCTGGGTGTGTGTCCTTCAGGACCTGGGCAGAGGCCCCAGAGTGTGCGGTGTTGCCTGCCGACCGCAGCCTCAGCTCCCACCAAGAGACTGGCAGAACCCCTGACTCCCTGGTTCATAACTACACTCCCTGCTGACCTGGAGAGAGGCCATCTGCTGAGGACAGGGATGGCAGGTGGGTACCTTAGGACCAGCTGTGGCAGAACTCTGGGTCAGGTGAGAAAGCACTGGGCAGAACCCAGGTCGCCTAAGGAGGGCTCCTTTCCCATCCGTGCAATGTTGATGCTGGCCCGAGAGAGAACTTGCCAGGCTCCCGCTGCGCCCACGCTTGGGGACCGCGGTGGGGTGAGGGACGGGGGAGCGGGCCTGTGGCGGTCACGGGGCTTCAAGGAAGCAGCTGTCCAGGCGGTGGCCCGGCCTGAACAGTCCCTCAGCGCCGCCTGCCGGCCTTGCGCCTTGCGGCCCGGGGCGAGGTCGGGAGTCTGCGGGCGGGAGGCGCGCGCCAGCCCCGGGGCAGCCCCTGGAGGCCGGTAGGGGCGCCCAGGAGCAAGCCCGCCCAGGAGCAAGCCCTCCGGGCCCACGTCCCCGCACTTCCGCGTGGAGCCCGCTGCGCCCCCTCGCCCCGCCCAGCCCCGCCCACCCCTTGCCCAACTCCCTGCTCCCGTTTCGGGCCGGGTCACCCCCTGTGGCCCCAGCTCCTTCTGCTGGGAACAACCCCCCTGTTCACAGGTGAGAAAGCTGAGGCTTCGGTGTCGTTCCAGCCTCAGCAGGAGAGGAGGAGCTGGTCACTCAGCAGTGCCAGCTTGGGGGCAGATGGGGGGATCTGGGGCGTGTCCCCAGGGGCAAGGACAGCTGACCTTTGCCCACCTCACCTCTTCCCTCGGCCCTGAGACAGGTGCGGGAGCCCCGCGGTGGCCAGTGTCCCAGCAACTACCCATCCCCAGGCCTTTCAGGACACCTATGGCACCACCCACAGGAGAGAGACATGCCCTGTACCCTACACTGCCCTGGGCTGCTGAGCCGGAACACAGTGCCACCTAGAGGACCTTCTGGGTTTCAGGGGACAGAAGGCTGCAGTCCTGGGGCTATGCCACTGAGATCTGGCCTGGCTTCACATGCCACCCCACCTGGGGGACCTGGCAGGAAGCTGGGCTTGCTAGACCCCCACATGCTGTTGTGCACAGGTGCCCGCGCCCCGCCATATCCCGACCTCTTGAGGTACCCCAGGGCCAGGAGCTTCCTTCTAGCTCCCCTGGCCTCCCACCAGCTGCAGACAGCTGCCAGCCGTCACACACATCTGAACCCCCAGGCACCTCCAGTGCAGACCTGCCTTTTCCAACAACCTCCCTCATCTGTGCCGCCCTTGGGGGGGGTCCTGGTTGTCTCCTGACTGCAGGCTCCATCCTTCCACTTGAGATCCAGTGGCCATTTGGTCCCCCAGGGACTCAGCCACATCCTTGCCCACTCCCTGCCTCTTGCTCCTTCCCACTATCACTGTGCCCTCTCCATGCTCTGCCCACCCTAGAACCCCAGAGGGTCTCCCCAGCTGCTTCCCTGCTGGCCAAGGCCACTGGGCCTGAGTACTATCGTTGTCTCTGGGCAGTCCTCTTAGCTCCCAGGGAGACAGCTGTGTCGGCTCACTGGCCACCTCTGCCCCCCTTCAGGCTCCCTACCCACTTGGACCAGGCAGCCTGCGCAGGGTGAGCCAGGCTGCTTTCAGGTGCCCTTGGGAGATGGAGAGGAGAGAGCCAGCGTGGCAAGTGGGATGGGTGCACAGACCTGGAAGAAATCAGAGTGACAAGTCGGCCTGTGCGAGGAGGTGTGGCCAGTGGTTCTGTCAGGTCAAGGCAGGGGAAGGAGGACACAGCAGGAAGGGTCACCCCTTCCCACCATCTCACATGGATGAGGAGAGCAGCAGGAGGGCACCAGGAAGCCAGGGGGCTGGGGCTGGCGGACCCCTGGGGACCCGAGCCTCCCTCCTGGAGGGACACAGTGGAGGATCTGTCCTCTGTCTCTCTATGTTGAGCAGGGCAGGTCGTGTGGGGAGGTGGGGCATCCCAGTGGGGCTGCAGGAGGCCACAGCCTCTCCACCCCACAGCTGCCTTTCTTCTGAGACTTTCTTCATTCTCAGATGAGGACCTGACCCTGGGGTTGGTAGGACTCTTCTTCTTCAAAGCAACACACAAAGTCGGTCCTTCCCCACCTGAGGCCCCTTCCTCCCTGCATGCTCTGGACACCACTGACTGGCAGGTCACAGGCCGCACTGCTGCCAGACAGCTTTTTCTTCTAGAAACAAAACACCTGAGGTCATCAACTTAAAAAGAGCAAAGGTTGTTTGTTCCCATCCTTGACTGATGAGCCGCCTTGCTTGGGCCTATGGTGAGGCAGAGTGTCATGGTGGGAGCTGAAAGCACACAGAAGGGATGGGGTCCCAACAGCCCTGTAGAGGACGCTCCCGACCTCCCAAGAGCACCACTGGCTGGGGAACAAGCCTTCCACACAGGGGACACTTCTGAGGCCCAGCAGCCCCAGGTTGAGGGCCTGAGGCAGCAGTGCAGGCAGGGCCCTCCCCACAGAGCCCTGCTGGGGAAGGCCTGCGGGCACCCGACATGCTGGCCTGCTGTGCCCTCTGCAGGCCTAGGCAGTCCTGCTTGTCCCTGCTGGGGCAGGACAGGCGCAAACCGGGCAGTGCTCAAGGTCCACAGGGTCAGCCGGATGAGCCCACGCGCGCCGTTTCCAACTACTTTCAATGGTCAATTTTATTATAAAGAATGGTATCAAAATATACAAATCTGCTCAAGAACAATCGAGAAGTGCAGCTTTTAAAGGGCCAGGTGAGCGTCCCATTCCAAGGACAAGCTCCTCCCCCGCCATCCACAGGGCCTTTCCCACAGGACGCCACTCTCAATAATTTAAAGGGTGGGACTGACTTTGACCCGGACGCTGTCACAGATCCTCACGTGAGGGCGGCTGTGGCTGTGCTGGGTTTTCTTCCGGGACTTCTGTCAGGAGGCGACAGGGATCACTGACCAAAGGCCCATGGGAAGGCCTCACATCTTCACTGGGGCACACGGGGCACGCGGAGCTCACGTCCCAACACACCCTGGCCCATGCCCTGGCTCCCCCTGGACCTGCAGCCTTCCAGGGCAGCCCAGGAGGAAGGCACTGCGCCTAGCACCTACAGCCGGGGTGCCCAGGCAGGCAGTGGGCTGCACAGAGGCCTAAGGTGCAGACTGGAGCGCCTGGGAAATGGGGCAGCAGAGGGCTCTGGGGCCTGGCCTCCAGCCCTGCCTCACTGCTGAGGCCAAGCCCTCTCCTCTCTGGCTCCTGCACAGGCAGGGCCTACGGATGGGGCTTCTGGGTCTTACCTTCCTGGTTCTGCAAAACTCTTGCTGTAATCTCCCTGAACACTGCCAGCTCCCTCTCCACATTCTAGAACTTTACAAGACCCCCCCCAAGGCTGAACTGTGCCTCCCAGAGATGCTCAAGTCCCACCCTGCACCTGCAAGTGTGGTCTTGTTGGGAAACAGGGTATCTGCAGATGACCTTCAAGATCAGGTCGCTGGGGTGGGCCTGGGGCCAATGGGACCGGTGGACTCCTCACAGAAACCACAGTTCAGAAAGTTGGACACCCATACACGGACAACCATGTAAAGATGGGCCTGGACAGACCCTCCCTCACAGGCTCAGAAAGAGCAGGCCCCGCCACACCCTGACCTCGGGCTCCAGAACACAGAGAGTACCCTTCTGTTGCTGAAGCCCCAGAAAACTGACCCAGACCCTCAGTGGGACCATCTTGCTCTCCGACCCTCCACCTCTCCTTCCCTGCAGCGACCTGCCGACCTGGCCTCACCTTGGACCCCACTGTCCAGCCTGAACACTACTCCTCCACTAGGTGCTGTCCACTGCCCCAGCTTGTCTGTGTCCTGTGGAGCTGGTGCCCGGCGTGAGCTGCCGAGGTTGCCCACAGCTGCCTCCCAGGAACCTGTCACCCCAAGACTGCTCTCCTGTTTGTTCCTACAGGCAGCAGGTGTCCCCAAGCCCAGCACCTGGGAGCCAAGGCCGCCCCACTCACCACCCTGTGCCGTCTGCACACAAGCGTCTTCCGTTTCTTCGAAGCCTTCAGGACACACGCAGACGAAGCTCCCCGGGGTGTTGTAGCAGTTCTCGTTTTTCCTCTTACAGGCTTTTTCTGCTAGTGAGCATTCGTCTACATCTGAAATAAAAACGTCCAGTTTCCATAAATCACTTCTTTTAGCAAATACACACCAGAGACCATGAAATCCACCCCGGGAGGTCCAGGGGTTGCGTGTCAGAGACAGGAGTGACGGAGATCAGGAGAGGCTTCAAGGGAGAGGCCAGGCCCCTGACTGCAGGAAACAAGAGACACCAGGCAGTGTGTAGGCAGGAAGCCTGGGACACCACCGTGAGTGGCCTGGAGCCAAGGGCTGAGCACCCCCAGCCTCAGCACTCAGGGCTACAACTGGCCACCATCCCCCGGTCCCCACCCAGGAAAGGTGGAGGACCTGTCTGCAGGAAAAGGAGAGCAATTTCCCATCCACTGGGGTGATGGTTCCTTAGGGCTCACAGTGGTCCCTGGGGAGGTCCCATCTTCGGCAGAAACGAGCTCACTGACCTGCACACTGGCCATCCTCTTTCGAGTAGCCAGAGACACACTGTTTACACTTTGCTGGGCCTTTTCCCGTGCAGCCCACACAGGTGGAGTCACACTCTAGAAACGAGGAGGGAAGGGACGTCAGACCACCTTCCACGCCAGTGCAGGGCCTGAGCCACACTGATGAGGGTCAGAGGCGCCCACAGAGGTGGGAATTCAGGTTTTTCCCTCATCAACCACTGGAGTGACTTTGTAATGACCACCTGTGACCGTCAAACTCCCAAAGAGCCGAGAGAAAGCACTCCGGGCAGGAGAAGCACGGAATACAACAGTCCTCCCCAAGTCTCTTGCTGAAGTGGAAACAGGACTTGAACTTTTCCCAAAGTCACCTCAAGATGGGTGACAGAAATTTGTCCGTCCAGGAGGAACCTGGGAAAATCTCTGCTGGGGACTACAAGGTCTCCAGTGTGACCTCCTGGTCAGGACCCGGCTGCAACAGCAGAGCTGCAGACATGGGGGTCTGCGGGGACCATGAAGCGGCATGACCTTCTTGGGGACGGAATGACCCTCCACATACATCCCCCTGGCAGGGCAATTTGAAAACTGATCCCAGACAACAGTCAATGTTAAAAGCTTGACCTACAACGGCAGCCGAAGTACGTAAGGGTGAGAAACACACCAGACGGTTCAAGGGAGTGTGGAGAAGGCCGTGCCCCCAGCCCCTCGTGTGACGCACGAGTTGGCAGCATGCTGCCGAGGGAGGAGGACCAAGGCCTGTGGCAGAGCCAGAGGTGACCGGTGGACCTGAGGTCCAAGAGCCCCCCAGCCCAGAGAGGACGATGTGCCCACGCCAGACCTTCACACGTGTAGGAGCCATTGACGTTCTCACAGTACTGCGTCTCACTGCAGGGAGGCGTCTCAGCCGCACACTCATCCACATCTGGAACGGAATAGCAAGGCTGCCTGGGTGGACACCAGTCCCCACAGCCACCATCCTGAGACCTCCAAGGGCAGGGGTGGGGACGAGGTGGCAGCCTGTCATGCTGGGCACTTGGCACCAGGTGGACGGGCTGCAGTGGGAGCCATGACAAGCCTCTGGTACTCGGGCACCTGGGGTCCTCCCCCAGGGTGAAACCTGTGGGGCCACGCCCCCAATGTGCCTAAGGCTGAGCAGCTGCTGAGAGGAAAGAGCACAACCAATGCCCACAGACGGGGAGGGCACCACCAAGCACCTGGCTGCAGCAAGGCCAGGCTGGTGCCCGCTCTCCAGGATGCTACAAAGTGGTTACAGTAGAGGGGGTAACACAAAAGAGGACTGGAGCAGGTGGTGGCCACAGGCAGGCAGGAAACAAGCGGACAATGGTGTGTCGGCCAGGACAGAGCCTCCCAGCACCACGACGCAGAGCACAGAGCAGGCCTTCATTGGGGCAGTGCCCCAAGGTGGTCACCTCCCCTGCTGGGCAAGAAGCCAGAGCCGCTGTGAGTCAGGGTGGTGGAAGGTCACAGGCAGCTGGTGGCGGGACGCAGCTCTCCAGGGGAGGTGTGTGCTTCAGTTTCTCTGGGCCTGCACACCAGGACAGAGGTCCCCCCACAGGACCGGCACAGTGGGGTGTCGGCCCAGGGAGGCCCCCAACCCTGCCTGAGATGGAAGGTGAGCTCTTGGTACAGTCAGCCACCCAGGGGGCAGCTTGGACCAGCAGCTCCCAGCCACCCTGGGCCACTGGCAACAAGGACACTGTGGCAGGGACAGTCCTTCCTAAAACTGTCACACATCAGCCTCTACCCAGGCCATGAAAACACCAGATCACCTTCTCACCAACCAGAACAGGGCAGAGACACAGCAGTGGATGAGAGCCCGCTACGACCCTCATGCCCCTGTGGGGTCCCCTGGCCCGGTGCCCTCCTCACCCAGGCAGGTGTCCTCCACGCGCGCCCAGCCCTCTTCACACTCAAGGCAGTCTCTGTTGGTCGGGCCCGAGCATGTCTTGCAGGACTCGTCACAGGCTGGAAGGCAAAGCAGCTGCGTCAGAAACGCCCTGTAATCTCTACCCTCCTTTCAGAAAGAGGACCTCGAGTTCAACAGCGGGATCGGAAGGAAGGAGAACAAAAGTTCCAGGCAAGCAAGAGTGGGTCAGCAGGGGGATCTGCTCGTGTGGTCCTGGTGTTTACAGACTTCGGGAGGAAAGCAGAATGCAGGCTCCGGGGGCCTTCAGGACTCCAGAGGGTTTTCAGGCCTGGAGAGGACAGCCACCCGAACTCCAGAGCCCACGGGCTGGGTGGGTACACCCCTAACACTGAGAGAGGAAGACAAGTGCAGGGATGCGAGGCCTGGCCTCACCTGTCCCCGAGAGGCACCCTGAGCAGAAGTCCAGGAACAGCTCCCCTGGGCCAGGGCGCTGATGGGGAGAGCTGTGCTGCGGGAGGGAGGGCAGCTTTGCAACCAGTACTGTGCGTGAGAGCCAAGGCCGCACTGCCCTGTGTGACCTGACGGGCAGCTCTGGAGGCTCCCTCAAGGGAGGACCCCTGGGGAAGCCTGCCCAGCCCTGGAGCTGTGGCCAAGCCAGGGTTAGCAGGACCCATCCGCAGGAAGGGAGCTGCACAGGGACCAGGCAGGGGTCAGGCACCCGAGTGGCCTCCAAGAGTCCTTCTAGTTCCTGTGCAGCCAACTCCTGCAAGGCTCAGCGTGCCTGCTCCCTCCACATCGCTGTCTTGAGTGGCCATGAGCACATCCCGTGTGCCACACTAAGTGCCAAGCCCAAGAACCAAAGGCACCTACCACAGGGGTGACAACCTGCCACTCAACGAGAGACTTCGAGTCCTTCCCAGAATGGCTCACAGCAGGCATGAGTAGCTTTTCCTTCTGGGGGCTGTTCAGTGGTGTTTCTCTGGTACTGGGGATTGAACCCAGGGTGCTTTACCATTGAGCCCCAGCCCCAGCTCTTTTGTGACAGGGTGTCACTAAGTTGCTCAGGGCCTTGCTAAGCTGCTGAGGCTGGCTTTGAACTTGTGATCTTCCTGCCTGAGCTTACCAAACTGCTGGGATTACAGAGGTGCACCCCTGGCCTGGCTCAGGGCTGTTTCTTTTTTTCTTTTGAATTTCTTTTAGTTGTTGATGGATGTGATAACTTTATTTATTTATTTATTTTTATGGGGGGTGGTGAGGATCAAACCCAGTGCCTCACACATGCTAGGTAATTGCTCACCACTGAGCCACATTCCCCAGCCCAATTTTGTGTTTTATTTAGAGACAGGGTGTCACTGAGTTGCTTAGCACTTTGCTTTTGCTGAGGCTGGTTTTGAACTCATGATCCTCCTGCCTCAGCCTCCAAAGCGGCTGGGATTATAGGCATGCTGCACTGCACTTGGCTTAAGGGTCATATCTTCAGGTCTCCTAAGCTCCCCTGGACACCTGGGGCCAAGGAGTCCCTGGCTGCCCCTGTTGCCACCTCCACAGCTCCCGCAGAGGGCTTCCCACAGCCTCACTGTCAGGTGGGCTGGGCAGCACACTGGCACTGGGCCTACCTGTGCAGATGTTGTGGGTCTCATTCCTCAGTGAGCTGAAGTAGCTGCTCACACAGTCCTTGCAGAGCGGTCCCTGGTATCCGATGTGGCACTGACAGGACCCATCCCCCTGTCTGCTGCCATCTCCGTTGCAGTGGCCATTTCCGCTGCAGGGCCTCTTAGAGCCCCCCTGGCATGCTGGGGTGGGGGAATGACAAAAATCCATGCTCAGCACACACCCAGGGGCAGCTAGTGGGAAAACTCCAGGACACCCCTCAAGTTACTTTTAACCAAAGAGTGTTTGGATTTCTCACTAAAATCCAAGCCCTGCACATTCCTGCTAATAGATAAGCCTGCAAGTTTGCTTATGGCACCTGGAGACACCAGCCTCCAGGGGCTGACAGGGCTGATGCTGGATTACCTGCACAGGAACAAGCCACATCTCCTGGTTTCATTACAAAGCATGACTTTGGGAAGATTCAAGGTTGCCTGTGCATAGGTGGCGGGACCCCCAGGAGGCATGTGCGTCCAGCACGCAGCCAGGGAAAGTGGGAGAGATGGGTGGAAGTGGCTGTAGCACTGGAGGCAGGGTGTGAACATGAACTGCCACCTAACCCAGCCTGACTAACATGACTGGCTTCTATAACCCAACAGTAAGTTGCAGCTCCAATTTCAACGAGTGCTTCACATCAGGGCCAGTGGACAACCCAGCCACAGTCCTCTGCAGTGTGGGGGCTGCTGAGTCTGTGATCCTTGCACCAAAAGAGCACTGGAACTGACTCAGAGTTCTGCAGTCCGAGGGAGAACTTCTCTGCAGCTAAGCAGAGATGCTGCTCCCCCAGGGCAGGTGTTGGAGGGTCCCTGCTGCACACAGGAGGCAGGGTCCCACATACCAGCTAATGCAGCTAAAGCAGCCCAGGACCCCTGTGGGCTTTTAAACACTTGGGAACCAGAAAGAAACTAGAGGAATGATGTAGACTTGAAATCTCCCCAAGAACATACCACTGCAGTCTGGCCCATAGGTGCCTGGAGAACAGCACACTTTCAGTGTCTGCACACAGAACCACTCGAACAGGTCAGGGTACTTCTTCTTCCTAATGGTTTGAAAATGTCCATTGAATGCAGCATCAAAGAACACTTGCTTCCCTTATCCTGTGGGAGATGTTTCAAGGGGCAAGTGGACATGTGGACCCTGGAGTACCAAGCCCTCTAAATGTGTTTTTTACCTACAGATGCAAACCTATGATGAGGTTCAATTTGTAATCAGACACAGTGAAAGATTAGCAATAACAATGATTTTAAAAATACTGTAACAAGAACTTAGTAAAATATATGAATTGCTCTTTTCTGGGTTTTCCTTGTAATATTTTCAGACTGCTACTGAGTATGGGAAGAGACCCAGAGGGCAGGGGGCATTGTACAGGGCACTGTATGAGCTCCTGAGGCTCCTCTGGGGGACAAGAGTTAGGTGTGCATAGGAATTTCTAGCTAGCTTCCTGGCTGTGAGAGTCATACTCTGGTAGCATATGACTAAAACAGGAGACAGGGACAATGGGGATATAGGAGCACCATTGCCTCAGCAACTTCTGGGTATGTCTGGTGACTGCACAGGTGCCACCAGGCCACACACTCACAGCTGCAGCCACCAGGCCTCCAGGCGCTCCTCCTGTTGCTCCACCATCTGGTTGCACTCAAAGTCGCTGCTCTCACACAGGCCTTCCAAGATCTCCAGGAGCCGGATCTCACTGAAACACAAACACCATCAGCATCAGGGGGCACTGGCTTGCTCACTCAGACAAGTCCTGAGCCCTAACTGTGGCCAGGCTGGGACCACAGCCCCTCTAGTGAAGCAGACCTCAAACCAACACATGGATAGAGCACAGCAGCCCATACCCTGGGGTGGTCAGGGAGGGCGGGCAGGTACCAGGCTCTGGGCAGAGGGGGAAGGGGATTTATCCCACCTGTCAGGGATAAAGAACACTTCTTCCCTTATCCTGTGGGAGACGTTCCAAGGGGCAAGTGGACACGTGAACCCTGGAGTACCAAGCCCTCTAAACGTGTTTTTTACCTACAGATGCAAACCTACGATGAGGTTCAATTTGTAAATCAGGCAGGAGCATTCCAGGAGTCTGGTGTTCGGTTAATATTTTCAAAAGGTCATCCCCTGTATGCAAGGAGAATGGACCACAGGGGACAGGGGGCGGGGTTGAAGCAGCCAGGCCGGTGAGGGGCCATCACATTAGATCCAGGCCGGAGGCAGAGGAGACCAAGGACAGATGATGGCATCTAAAGGATCCTTCTGTGTATCTGCCCTCATCTCAGGTTCCAAAGGCAGACCCTGGGCTTTCAAGATAGGGCCCTCCAACAACCCTGGTGGTGCTTGGGAGCCAACCTGAATTCGTATTTGGACAGCGTCTTCTCTTCCCAGGCTGTGTTGCCGCCACCGAAGTTCTTCTTAGCCGTGTTGGCCATCCCCTGAGGAGGTGGACGGGCTAGACTACTCTGCATCTGGGACCCCCCCCCCCAAGGGGGCACTCCCCACCACGACCCAAACCTTGCGGTCCCCCGTGACACTGATTCGCACAGCCGGGACCTCGCGTCCATAGCTTTGCAGTCTCCGCGACCCTGCCCCGTTCCCAGGACTCCCACTGCCCCGGCCCCACCGCCCCAGGATCCCTATCGGGGTCCCTGCTGCTCCCGCCCCGAAGCCCCGGCCCACCTGGTTGAACTTGTCCACCAGTGCCCGGCACTGCTGGCAGGGCGTCAGCTTCCGAGCTGCGTCCGGAGCGGGCGGCAGCAGCAGCAGCAGCAGAAACCCAAACGCGGTGCGGGGCGGTGGACGCATGGCGGGCGGGCGACAGGCGGCAAACCGCGGCCGAGCGCTGGGCCTCCGCCCACCCGGCCAGCGTGCCGGCCGTTCCCGGGGCTACTTGACGGCGCCGCCGAGGCCCCGCCCATCCCGAAGCCCGCACACCTCCATTGGCCGGCTGGATCTGTCCCAGCCTGATGTGGCCCAATCCGGGCTCGCCACGAGCGGTGACCAATGGGAAGGCCCCGGGTCAGCTACCAGCGGGAGGGGGCGGGGCCGCGAAATCGGAAGCGGTACTCGCGCCCCGCCCCTCTCGTGCTGCCGGTGGAGGCCATCTTTACTCTGGGCAGTCGCTGTGGCGCTCCGCTGTGGCGGCAGTCGGAGATACGGCGGCCATGTTAGATTCGGGAAAGCGCCTTGCCTCCGCTGTTTCCGCCGCCCGGCTTCCGGCTGAGGGCAGTTCAGGCCGTCAAGCTCCGAGGGACGGTGCGGGCGGTGAGAAGAGGTCAGTGCGCGCCACCGAGGCTGGGAACTCGGGGAGAGTGAAGGAGGCTGCTAGCCTGCGTTGGTCGCAGCGTTCCTCGGGCGTTCCTGCGCGTGACAGCCGCCAATTCTACGTGAGGCCCGGGTCTCTCACCTGGGGGCGGCCCTCACCTGGGGACTGGACATTCACTTGGGAGTTGACCTCTAGCAGAGACGGCTGGGACGCTGTGTCAGGGTCCCCGCGCAGCTGCCTGTGGCGTGCGTGTCGGTGCTTCCGGTTTCCCTGTTCCCCCGGCAGCGGGAAGGGAGGGCGTCCCCTCTGCCGCCGGGAAGTTAGGCCCAGCTCGTCCCCACTGCAGACGTAGCCCGCCCGAGGCTTTGAGCCACTGTCTTCCTCAGCCGAGCTGTTTGAGTGCCCGCTCCTGGTGCTGTGTCCGAGGGCCTGCCGGGCCGCGCACGCAGGGAGCCCCAGGCACGGAGAGCTCCTCCTCGGACGGCCAGCCTCTGTTTTTGATTGTGGTGTGACCCTGGTTGGGAAAAACAGCAAAAAACCCTGGCCTCTGGTAGTTTAAAAGAGGGGGACAACTGTGGACAGTGGTTCTAACTGGCCTTGAGATCTCTTTGGTACCGAAATGGTGTGTGTGCATGTGCAGTGCTGGTGATTAAATCAGGAGCACTCCCTCTCCGACTACACCTCCAGCCCTTTTTAAAATTTTTATTTGGGGACAGAATCTCACTGAGTCACCTGGTGTGGCCTTGAAATTGGAATCTTCGTGCCTCAGCCTGCAGGTGTGGCCATTCGTATCCAGCTTGGTACCAAATTTTTGTTTTTTTTTTTCTGTACCATTTTGGTTTTTCTAAAACCACTAAAGTCTCTTTCTGCTTTTTCCCCACTCCCCACCACATGGTCTCTGCTCCTTCTGATCTGTAGACGCCCCCTCTGCTTTCTCTGGAGCGCACCAACTTCTTAACTATCGAGTCAAGCAGTGGTGTTAATAAATGGTAAGTCCCATGGCATGTCTCCCTTTGCTTCTGGCTTTTCTAGTTTTCACTGGATAAAATCAAACCTTCTTTAAATAACCCAGAAACATGAAGAAGCATTTTCCCTTCCTCTTCCTAGGTCTTCCAGGGGTGCAACTGGGTGGTCTCATGGATTCTCAGCAGCTCCATGTCATAGGTCCCTGAAGCCGTCTTTAGGACTGGATGACTGCTGGCAGGCAGTGTCAATGGCACACGTTCAGGGCCATGGCCAATGTGGTGCCACCTGGGGAAAGCCTGTGTTGCTCCAGGCCCCCGGGAAGTTCAGAGCACAGCAGGGTGGACATCCATAGTCCCATCCCACTGTCCTGGGGGGTGGAGCTTTGTAGCACCCTGAACCCCATGTCCCCAGCAGCTGTGCTGTGTCCAGCCTGCTGCACCCCTGTGGTTGTTCCTTTCTCATCTTTGGGATGTGGGCCTCCCCCAGCCCCTACCCTGCTAGCGCCTGTCTGTCTCCCCTGGCTGGTTCACCTGATTCCCAGGGCAGACTGCAGGTTCTGCAGTAGGCCTCCCAACAGCGCTAGAAGCATGTTGGGACAGAGAGCTTCTTATGCAGGATTCTCCTTTAACTTCCAGATTTCACAGCATTCCTGCCTGCCTCCCCCCCCGCCCCCCCATCTCACAAATGTGACCTCAGGCATGGTTTCTGAAGCTCCAGGGTCTACTTGTCCTTTCAGAATGTGCAGGGTAGGCTGCTGACAGTTTGTTATCTGTCCCAGGCACGTGAAGTCTAAAGCCCCACATGGCTGGAAAGAGGTCGCTCAGCCGGCGGCCTCTGCTGCTGCTGGGGCTGCTGGTTGCAGTCGCGGCCGTCCACCTCTTCACCTGTCCCTACACCAAGGTGGAGGAGAGCTTCAACCTGCAGGCCACACACGACCTGCTGTACCATCGACTGGACATGGACAAGGTGAGGCTGCTAGTGCCTTTGGGGAGGACCTTAGTGTGCTCCCTGCCTGACCGCTGTGCCAACTGCCACCTCTCTTGCAGTATGACCACCATGAATTTCCCGGTGTTGTCCCCAGGACGTTCCTCGGGCCTCTGCTGATGGCGGCAGTCTCCAGCCCCCTGGTCTATGTGCTTTCACTGTTGGAAGTGTCCAGGTTTTATTCCCAGCTGACAGGTGAGGGTGGACTGTGATAGCAGCACGTGGTCTCTGTGGGGCTGGTTGCTTCTCATTGGGGAATGTCCTCCTTACATCTCCAAATGTCAAAAGCTCTCGGTTGCTTTTATTTTTACTTTTTAAAATTTTATTTTTTGCTTCTGGGGATTGAACCCAGGGGTGGGGTGCTTTACCACGGAGCTACATCTCAGTCCTTATTTTTCAGTTTGCAACAAGGTCTTACTGAGTTGCTGAGGCTGGCCTCAAACTTGGGGTCCTTCTGCCTCAGCCCCCTGAGCCGCTGGGATCATAGGGGTGTGCCTGTACCTGACTGCTCTCAGAGGTCCCTTTGGGCTGAGGCTCAGAGCATGGCCTTGCAGACAGACCAGGGATGGGTGGGCATGCTCTGTGCCTCCACAGGGCCAGTGTGGGAAGGCAGGTGCCTGTGAGGCCCTGGGCTCCCTCCTCAGTGGGAGAGCCTGCAATGCAAAGAGTCCTTGCTGCAGGACAGTGGGCCTGCTTTGGGGAGTAGGCAGACAGCCTCACGTTGTTGGGGGCCACTGTGCTGGCCTATGTACAGGTCTCCGGGACTTCCCTGTGTCCGTGAGATGTGTGGTGACACGGATGCGTGTGCTGATGTTTGGGGCATAGCACACACAGGCAGTGTGCAGTGGCCACGTCTGGGCAGTCAGCATTTCTGGCTCCTGGGCCAAGGCCGTTTCTGTGGGAAAGCCTGAGGCTCTCCTTGTTCTCAGTTTCCTGTAAGCTGCTAGCAGTCACCTTTTGGTGCCACATGTCCCGTGGAGCACCAGAGTGTGTTGCTGCTAGCTGCACTTTGTTGCCTGTGTTTTTTCCCCAAACTAGACTGAGAACCTTCTGTATACATTGTTCCACCACATGATTCTTCTTTTTTTTTTTTTAATAATTTATTTATTTATTTGAGAGAGAGAGAGAATTGTTTTAATATTTATTTTTTAGTTTTCGGCGAACACAACATCTTTGTTGGTATGTGGTGCTGAGGATCGAACCCGGGCCGCACACATGCCAGGCGAGCGCACTACTGCTTGAGCCACATCCCCAGCCCTAATATATTTATTTTTATGTGGTGCTGAGGATCAAACCCAGTGCCTCACGCTTTTGAGGCAAGCGCTCTGCCACTGAGCCACAACCCAGGCCCAATGCCTGATTCTTTTTAGGCAATGATCATCATTTTTCCTCTTCAGTAAGTTTTTATCACATCTAATACAGATCATACTTAAGTTTTCCCAACTCACTCAGACGTGTTATTCTCACAGCCCATTTATGCAGCCTGCATGGAGACCTTTTAAAGTGCAGCTCTGCTTCTTGGAAGGACTGATCAGGACGTGGAGGTTGACCACCACATGGGCAGCTAGCTAGTTATGCCTGCTGTGCAGAAGTCTTGGGGCAGGGGCAGGTGGGGAGGGTTGGGCCACAGTCTGCGGAGGAAATCTGCACTTCCAGGTTGGGGTGCACTTTCCCCAGAGGCCTCTGTATCCTGGGCAGTGGAGAGACGCCTGGGCACCGAGCAAGGCCTGGCTGCCCTCTGCATGGCTGCCATCTTCCTTCCTGACGGCACTTAAGGCAGTCTGGAGAATGACTCCTCAGAGGATGACAATAATGTCCCCTGGGACTGGGGCTGTATCATAAACTGTCACTGTCTGCCAGCCCTGTCTTGGGCACTCAGGGATGGTTAGACACCCAGGAAGAGAGACGGCAGAGGTAACCCCAGGTACAGGTGAAGGGCCTCAGACACAGACTCAAAGGAAATAAAAGGAACTTCACAGAGTACCACGTGGAAGCCGCCAGTGGCATCTCAGTGCTAGAACGGCAGCTGGACTTGCCTCCTTGTGGACATCAGTTCCAAATAGCCGGAAGCATTCAAGGGAAGTGCCTGGTGCCGGGGCAGGCCCACCCCACAGACACCAGCTCGGCCTCTCGAGTCTGTAGCACCAGCCCCCTGAGGCTGCCCATGTCACCTGGCCTGTGATCTTCACAAGGGCACTTTGCGGTCCTGGCCTCCAGAAGGCCATTTCTTCCCAGCTTCAGTCTCTGGCAGTAGCCATGAGGTCTGTCTACTCCAAGAACATACGGTATCTGGTAGCCCTGTCCTGGGCACCTCCACAAGCCCGCCAGCTCCCATCAGCATCCTGCCCATGGCCACTGTTCCATTCCTGGGCCCCTGGCCAGCTCGCAGGGCCCAGGGCAGAACTAGGGCCAGGCAGTGCAGTTCCCAACAGAAGTGCCAAGGACAGGGCACAGGTCTCTAATTCTGGGATCAGAGATGACCCCTCAGGGTTGCTTTTCTGTCCCCTGACACCTGGAAGGACTGGGTGCTTCACTGTCCCCTTCAGTCATGGACATTGCTGTCTGTCTGTCTGTCTAGTCAGAGGAGTCCTCGGGCTCAGCGTGATTTTGGGACTCTGGGCATTACAAAAAGAAGTGAGACGACAGTTTGGGGCCACGGTGGCCACCATGTTCTGCTGGGTGACGGCTACACAGTTCCACTTGATGTTTTACTGCTCGCGGACGCTCCCCAATGTGCTGGCCCTGGCTGTGGGTATGTAGTAACAGGCTCTGCCGGAAGACCCTGCCCTGAGCTGAGCTCCTCAGAAACACCACCTGTCATCCGAAGCCAGGCCCCTCTGTTCTCAGGGCTGGGTTCAGATGCACCTGCTGCATGGCGGTTGTGACTCACATTACGATGAGCCTCCCTCGTTGCGTGGGTGTGTTCTGAACTGGGTGGGACTGTGACAGGTGCCCATGTCTTGCAGTCCTGCCGGCCCTCACGGCCTGGCTACAGCACCGGTGGACCCTCTTCATCTGGCTCTCGGCCTTTGCGACCATCGTCTTCCGGGCTGAGCTGTGCCTACTGCTGGGTCTCATGCTGCTGCTGGCGCTGTACCACAGAAGGGTCTCTGTGGCCAGACTGCTGCAGCACGCCGTCCCCGCGGGCGCGCTCTGTCTGGGTAGGTTGGCCTTGCAGACTGGTTTCAGGTGGATTTCGTTTTATTTCACAAGGACGGAAATTTGGGTTTTAAGAAATGTTAAACAGAGTTACCTTGACTTTAGAGTACTCAAGGGTCTTAGTCCAGCTGCCCGCAAGCTGTTCTCTGTGGTGGCTCCATGTTTGCTCTCTGCTGCTGCCTGGGATCCTCTGCCTGCCCCTCTGTCCTGGGAGCTGCCCATATGGGTGGAAGGCCTTGGGTGGGGAGGGGCAGCTCATCTGCAGCTCTGGGAAGCTCTTGTTGGGGAAGTGGTGTCCTCAGCATGGTCAGAAGCTTTCCTGTGAAGCAGACGGTGGTGTCTGTGGCCAGCAGGCCACTCTGCAGGGGCTGACTGCCCCTGGGGAGGACTCCAGGGCTTGCGTGTGACAGGTGGCCATGCTCCTCACTGGGAAACTTTGTTTCTACCAGGACTGACGGTCACTGTGGACTCCTGTTTCTGGCGCTACCTTGTGTGGCCGGAAGGAAAGGTGCTCTGGTACAACACTGTCCTGAACAAAAGTTCCAACTGGGGCGTATCCTGTGTGCCTCTGCAGGCAGGGTGGGTGTTGAGGACTGTCCTCCCTGGCTCCCTGTACCCACCCTGGGAGCACCCACCTCCCTATGGTGTATCCCTGGCCTCCCTGAGTCCTGGTGATGACCCACCCTAGAGAAGTGCTGACTGTGGAGGGTCCCAGACACACGTGGGTGGTTGTGGCTCCCCAGTGCCCACGGCACCTATGTGCTCTGTTGTTAAAGTGAGGACAGGGGCAAGAGGAGGGACCCCCTCAGCTGTGCCTGGGGTCCCTCTGCTGTTTCTGAGGTGCAGGCTGAGCCCTGGCCTTTCCCGAGATGTTGGCCCTGATGGGTCCCATGAGGGTCCCAACCATGTTTAGCAGGCTGTGTAAATAGGAGGCCGGTGAGCCTCGACCCTCCTGCCCAGCTGGGGTTCCGCTAAGTGGACATGGCCCTGTCACCCATACTTCCTTAACCCTGGCCGGAAGACCTCCCCACTGCTGTGGTACTTCTACTCGGCCCTGCCCCGGGGCCTGGGCTGCAGCCTTCTCTTCGTGCCCCTGGGCGTGATGGACAGGCGGGCGCGGGTGCTGGCTCTGCCGGCGCTGGGCTTCGTGGCGTCCTACTCCCTGCTCCCGCACAAGGAGCTGCGCTTCATCATCTACACCTTCCCAGTGCTCAACGTGGTGGCCGCCAGAGGCTGTGCCTACCTGTGAGTCCCGTCCTCCTGCTGCTGTCTCCCTTGCCTGTCCCTGTGGTGCTGGCATGAAGCCAGACCCGTACTACTGCACTGCTGCTTGGCTGGTGTCTTTGAAGATTCGCAGGAGAGCTTGCTCCCTGGTGGGCACTGACAGAGGGGACATGTTGTGAAGCCTGGGGGCTGGGTGCGAAGGCCCCCAGCACTGCACCCTGCTGGCTGGTCCCTGTCCATAGCTGTGCTTTGCTGCCTGCCCTGGGGCTGGCCCATGCGGTGAGGGCACCTGGTGGGCACACTGGCTTGTCCAGATAGGAGCCAGCTTCTGCACCACCGTGGCCACAGGAGTGTGTAAGGTGGGGCTGGGCCCTAGTCCTGCTGGGTGTCTGTCTGATGGTCCTGGATGGCCAGGGTAGGGTCAGGCTGTACACTGCAGGCTTTCCAATGCATGAGCCACGGCAAACAGGAATCCCCAGCAGGGCGGAAGCCCTCCCGCAGGCATCTAGGCCGGGGCCAATCCAGAGCTTGCTTGCTCAAGTCCCTTGCTGGAGTGGGGTGGGCAAAGTCACATAAGCTGAAACTCTGCATCTTAGTTGGCCAAGGTGGAGGAGAGGCCAGCCACGACCTTGACCTTGGTGAGCTTTCTGTAATGAGCCAGAGTCGTGGCTCTTTTCCATAGGCCATGCAGCGTGGCAGCACCTAACTCTAGTCACTGGTCAGCTCCAGGGCAGCAAAAGCCTGGGCATCTGGGTAAGGCCAGGCCCAGACTGAGGAGAGCACAGCTGGGGACGTGGGTTCATGTCTTGAAGGTGGAAGCCAAACATGGGGGTGACACTGTTGGGAATTTAGCCTGGGATAGGTGGGTAGCAAGGCCTATAAGGAAGATTGCATGCCAGCGCTCGGAGGGGTGGAAGGTCACAGTCACAGGTGGGGTGGCTTGAAGGTCATGGTCAGCAGCTCTCAGGGATAGGACAGGACAAGAACCCATTCTTGCACAGAGGGGTCCTGCAGGGGGCCCTCAGCAGGAGACTGTGTGGGGAGCAAGGCCTGGCTGGTGGTTTTCACATGCTGCCCGTTGTCAGTTTCCCTGGAGGTGGGTGGAATGGTGCCAGTCGTCCCCTCCCCGGGGCCTGGTGCCTGGGTCTGTTTGCTTCTAACTGTTCACAGCAGAAGCAGAAGCCCTCAGGCCCCGCAGTGACTTGGGAATACTTAAGAGCTTGCGTTGTTCTGAGAGTTTAGGTTTTAAACTGGCATCTCGGGTGGAAAGGCCTCCTGAAGGGGCCTGTAACCACCTATGCGAGGGGGCTGCATGTCCTCGGTGACTGACTGAATAGGAGCAGGTTGTCCTGGACGTTGCTGGGCACTCTCCTTGTGGAACTCAGTCATTCCTTTTTCAGGCTGAATAATTACAGAAAGTCTTGGCTCTACAAGGCGGGGACAGTGCTTGTGGCGGGACACCTGGTGGTGAATGCCGCCTATGCTGCCGTGTGCCTGCGTGTTTCCCACTTCAACTACCCTGGTGGCATCGCCATGCAGCGGCTGCATGAGCTGGTGCCCCCTTGGACAGGTGGGTGCCAGGGTGCTGTGGGCCCGCCTGTGGGCCCGCCTGTGGGCCCGCGTGGTCCTCACCCAGTGTGGTCCCCCTAGATGTCCTCCTGCACATTGACACAGCTGCTGCCCAGACAGGTGTGTCGCGGTTCTTGCAAGTCAACAGTGCTTGGAGGTATGATTCTGGAAGCACTCCTCTTTGAGGCCACTTCCAGGTCCCCATGGGGCACCCAGGGCTGTGGGGAGGGCTGTCAAGTGGCGCAGGTGGGGATGGGTGTACATGGGGACGGCCCGATCTTCTTCCCCAGATACGACAAGAGGGAGGACCTGCAGCCCGGGGCGGCAGACATGCTGGCCTACACGCACATTCTCCTGGAGGCAGCCCCCAGCCACCTGGCCCTCTACAGGGACACACACCGTGTCCTGGCCCGCATCCTGGGCACCAGTGGTGTGAGTCTGAACCTGACCAGACTGCCTCCCTTTGATGTCAACCTGCAGACTAGGCTGGTGCTTCTGGAGAGAGTTGTCCAGCCATCCAAAGGGGATAGGTGACAGCGTGCCCCCGACACTGCCCCCAGGGCAGGCAGGGCTGGTACCTGTCCACCACCATTCCTGGGGCACACAGCTTGACAGGACAAGGGCCTCAGAGCTGCTGCCACAGGCACTGGTAGCCCTGGGGACCCCTTCTCATCATCCGGGCACCCTCACAACCAAGAGGGGATAACAGGCCAGGCAAGACCATCCCAGCAGCTGGCTGGTGGTGGCCCTCACTGTTCACTGCCCCCAGGTGCACGTGGCCAGGGCCTCAGCACCTGCCCTCCCGCCCCTGCAGCTTCTGTGCTCACAGGCCCTCATACGCATTCAGGTGATTTCAGGAGGTAAACACGTTGAAAAGAATGAGAATGAACGTCTCAGATGTTTTCTTAGGCAGTGTCTCTCATTTGCAGTTGCTTCTGGAGGCCACCCTGTCTAGCACTGCCTTGGGGGAGTCTGATGCAGTCATGCTGTACTGAGCACACTTCAGGGTGGGACACTGCCAGGCACAGGGTGACAGAGGACAGGTCACTGCCGTGAGCTCACGTGCACACTGCAGGCACTGCACGTGTACGTGCGGGTGCACGGGCATGAAGACGTGTTTCCTGAGTCTGCTGAGCGCGAGCTGTTCACAACAAGCCCATGGGGTTCTGGGCTCCCTCTATCCAACTCTGTTCCACAGTGAGAATCCTGGCTTCCAGCGGTATCCACACATTGACTGCTTTGCTCAATAAGAAGACATTAAATAGTTTGAGAATTGCCTTGTCACACAATTGCACAAAACAAACCCACCATAAAAAGGTGAGCTTTGTGAGGGTTCTTCACTCCCACCCACCACTGCAAGGGATAATGCGCTCCCTGGGTTGGCTGCTCCTGGCCTGCGTGGGGTCGTGTGGGGCCACTCTTCCCCTGCAGTCCGCGAGGCCCACCGCCCTTCCTCCTCGTGGCCATGCAGACCATGACACGAAGCCCCAGAGCGCACTCCGGCGGAGGGCAGGCTCGGGCACCCTTTCTTACAGGAAGTTCCAGCGCGCACTCTGGAGGTGGGCAGGCCCCAGCCCCTTCTTACGGGAGCATCTGTGCGCATTTGCCCTCTGCTCTTTCCACGGGTGGAATCTCCTGGAAAGTGCTGCGTCGGGGCTGCAGAGCCCGCTCACTGCTTCCCAGGGCCACACGGACTCGGGGATGTAGATGTTCTGTGGCTACTCGGCCAACTGCTCTCCGAAGGGGCATTTAACTGATTTCCAATATTCAATAAAATACAGATTCGGTGACAGCGAGTAACCAGGAGCACTTTTATTTTCCTACCGTGCATCTCCAGGGTACACTCCTGGACGTGGGCACGTGGGTCGGACGGACAGGCCAGTCGTGCTGGCCTCGCCAGATCCCTCCGCAGGGTGCTTCTGTTTGCTCCTCGCAGGGCCAGTGCTTGGCCTCTGTCCTTGTTTCCCGCGCCAGTGGAGCGAATGCCCTTTCTGCGGGTTCAAGGGCTGGTTTGTGAGCCATCTGTTCGTTTCTTTGATCCCTCTGTAGGCTTTTATTAAATGGACCAGACATCTGGGGGTGTCCACCCGCTCCGCATCCCCATGCATTCCCAGTGGACTTCATGTCGAGTCCTCCCTGGGGCCAGCCACCTGCTCCTGCCCGCACCCTCAGCTTGGCGGGGCCGCTTGCCCGGCTTAGGGACCTGAAGGATTTTCCAGCTCTTGCTTATTTCAGAACCTGCACGTTCCTTCCTGCACCCTGGGCGCCCGCGCATCCCCGCGCAGGTGAAGCGGGCCAGCGCGGCCCCGGGCCTCAGCGACTCGCCTCTGAGCCGGCCAGGGTGGCCTCTGGGTGTTCACGTCCCGGGGCTCACGTCCTCGGTTGGGTTCCGAGAGTGGCGCACACTGCGAAGGTTTATCCACATTTCATTCCCATCACCCAGCCGGGCTGCAGCTTGTCCCCTTGCCTAGCCGGAGGTCGTTCACTTATGCCACGTCGACCTCGCACTTGCAGTTGGTGCTTTGGTGATTGCACCCAGGGTGGCCCGCCACCCACAGGAGCCGTCTCTTCTACAATATCGTGTACGTGGAACTCCCTGAGCTTTGGCTTCTTTCATCCGAGTGTCCCCTTTCACCCTCTTTGTTTCTGTTGAAAAGGTGCACCTGCTATCCAAGTAGTCACTGGTGCTGGCAGAGATACCTGCGGGTGTTCTCTGGGGCTCAGTCCCTGGCAGTGGGATGGCTGAGCCAGAAGAGGACGCCTGCACCGGGGCACAGATTGCAGTGTGGCAACAACCGGGCACACATGTACTGTGCATCCACATTTAAGAAAAGTTTTGAGCTCCTACCCGCGGTGTTGGGAGAGCCCCACTTGTTCTGCATTCATGCCCAAACTTGGTGGTGTCAGTTTTTAAAATTTGAGCCATTCGAACAGGTGTGTGGTTAGGACTTGTGATTTTAATTTGCATTTCTCTGATGACTAATGAAGGTAAATATTTCTTGTGTGTATTGGCCATTCTCGTCTTTTTAAATGAAGTATCTTCAAATATTTTGTCTTTTTTTTTTTTTTTTTTTTTGGTCTTATTTAGTTGTGAGCGTTCTTTGTGTCTTCTGGATACAAGCCCTTTGTCAGATTTTTCTCTACAAAACATTGCCTGTTTTTTGGAAAAGTTTTACATCTTTATTCTTGTGTACCTGGTGCTTGGTGCCCTGAGAAAACACTGCCTAGCCCATGCCACGGAAGAGAAAAGGCAGATCATGACAGGTTCATTGGTACAGGGACACGGCTGGCATGCTGCTAAGGGGACCGGAAGTCTCCAGGGCAGGTTTTTTTTTTTTTTTAAAGAGAGTGAGAGAGAGAGAATTTTAATATTTATTTTTTAGTTTTCGGTGGGCACAACATCTTTGTATGTGGTGCTGAGGATCGAACCCGGGCTGCACGCATGCCAGGCGAGCACACTACCGCTTGAGCCACATCCCCAGCCCCCCAGGGCAGTTTTTGCTGAGCAGTGCAGGTCAGTGGCCACCTGGCTGAGGTGGCTTGGCTGCATCCCTGCACCTTTCTCCACACCCTAGAGCATTTCTGTTGGGTATGTGAGGGTCCTAGGAATGGAATCCCTACAAAACACAGTGCATTTTTAACTTTACAAGGATTTCCAGCCTATTTTTTTCTTTTTAGTTGTTCTTATGGGTACATTTAATTCTTTTTTCTTTTTCCCACTTTTTATTTAAAAAAAATTTAATATAATCCAATTATCACAATATCCCCCAAACAAGATCAAATAACTAAAGATTTGCTTTGTGTTTCTGCGAATATGTTCCCCTAGAGAGGCATAAGTTTGTGATTGCTCTGACAGTACTGCAGATGTCCGGCCCCTCAGGACCCTGAGGTAGACCTGAAGTTCCTGGCCAAGATGCATCTTCTGGAAATGAGGCTGTGACTCAACAGGATTGTAAGACTGTTTTATTTGTTTACTGTGCTGAACGGGGATGGATCCCAGGACTTCCCATGTACTAGGCAAGTGCTCTACCATGGAGCCACATCCCCAGCCCGTTTTATTTTAGTGTGAGACAGAGTCTCACAAAGTTGCTGAGGCTGGTCTCCTTGCAAACCTTGCTGGGATCACGGGCGAGGCCACAGTCCCTGGTAACAGTCTTTGTTTGTTTGAAGTGCTGGGGAGGAAACCAGGGTTTCTGTGGGAGGCTGGCCCGCTGTGGCTGAGCTGCCCCCAGCCTCGGTGCCTCGGGTGCAGTAGGAGCACACTTGGTCTCCCGCTGTCCTGAAGCAGGACCTCTGTGAAGCTCCACTGGCTGCTCCGTCTTCACGACCTCTCAGATCATAATGGTCCCTGCACACCCTGTGTTGTGAAGGCGGTGACCTCTGGTAACAGCTTTCTAACAGCCGCCCGGCCTGCCCGGTCCCCACTCCAGCAATCTCCTGCTCTGCTGTGTTCTGAACACGAGCCCTTCAGTAGAGGGGAGTTGCCAAGGGCTGTCTCTGCGCTCCCTTGGAGCTGCCTTTTGGAGAGAAGTGCTTCATTTTGTTGAAGACCAGTTGACTCATTTCTTTGCTCATGGACCATACATTTAGTGTTAGATTAACAAAATCTGCCCAACACAACTTCCTGAATAAGTTTGATGGATCACATTTTATATTAAAACAGTGATCTGAGTTGATTTCTATATGGTGGGCAATATAGATCAAATTTCTCCCACATATGAATATCCAATCGTTCTAGCACCAGTTTTTGAAGACGATCCTTTCTCCCTGATTTACTTTTGTTCTTTCTCAAAAATCAATTGATCTAGGAGCTGGAGATGCAGCCTGACAGGTGCAAGGTCTTGGCCCCTCCCCAGACAGCAGAAAAGCATTTAAAAACCAATCAACTCAAGAAGAAAATCACAGACTGGGAGAAATTTCTTGAGATGAGACATATCTGAAGAAGGACTGTTGTCCAGGACACTCAGAACACACCCTTGAAACTCAACACGCAGGAAGCAAACAAGACGTGGTTTTAAAGTGGGCACAATATCTGCCCTCTTCACAAAGAGACACAAATGGCAAAAAGGTCCACTGCCCAGGAGTCTCGATGGACGACAGCCATGGACGCCCTGCACACCCGATCCTGTGGCCCAACCCAAGGTGGGCAGCTGTGCGCTGTGGAGGGTGTGAACCAGGGGCAGCCACTCTGCCAGAGGGAGCTGGGAGTCCCCTACCAGGCACCCTCCCTGGGGCTTGGTTCTCTGCCCAGGGGAAGCGAAGTCTCAGGGCAACAGAGTTCTGACACTCGTGGGCACCCAGACCGTGGGACTAGCACTGCAAAGAGGCAAGCCGAGGCCAGGGAAAGACACAAGGGAAGGGGACGCACCCCTGAGGCCAGAGACTACCGGAAGCCTATGTGCTGTGGGTGTCAACTCCAGACAGACGGGAAGGGGTCAGAATGTCATCAATAGGTAAAGTCAGCACATAAAATCAGCGGTTGGCAGGTCCAGGCAAAATGGCAGTGCCCAGTGGGAGTGCGCCTTTTGCAGGACGGGTTTGTGTCCCTGTGTAGGTGCTGGGCAACCGTGCTGTGCCCTGCAGACCCGCCCATGGGGCCACTGGGCAGCTGCGGTGCAGGGGCGGGTGCTGGTGGTGGCCGCAGCTGCCTGTATGGGTCCAGGGAGCTCTGCTTTCTGCTTGACTTCTGGGAGACAGAACTGTGTAAAAAAGTCTGATGAAAAGTAAACTCAGATGGTTTTGACGGGGACTGCGGGAGCCTGGGCGAGTGTTCTGCATCATCTTTGTGTGAGTCCCTGGTGATGGGGGGGTCTTCTCGCCCACCTCACACCTCAGAGTAGGTTTTCAAGAACCAGCCCACAGTCCCACAGGGTGGCCCTGACCTAGATCCCGCCCGGGGAACGGTCACCCTGAGGCTGGCTGCTCTGCCCTCCCCCTGGGCGGGCCCCTACACCCTCTCTCCTTCCCTGCATTCTTTGGGTCTGCTGGGCTAGCACTGATGCGTTGTCTTCAGAAGGACTGGCATCTCACCCACATCGAGTGACGCAGGACGTTTGTGGCTTCTACTGCACACAGGTTATACAACCTGGACTTGCTGGGAACACCTCGCACTCCCAACACTGTGGCAATTGGTGTTTTGTTTCTTTTGTTTTGATTTTGGTACTGGGGATTTATCTCAGGGGCACTTGACCACTGAGCCCCATCCCAGCCCTATTTTGTATTTTAGAGACAGGGTCTCACTGAGTTGCTTAGCGCCTTGCCATTGCTGAGGCTGGCTTTGAACTCTCGATCCTCCTGCCTCAGCCTCTTGACACTTGCCAGTTGGACACTTTTTGCTGGTGTGCAGAAGCACAAGCGTCTGCTAAGCTCCCTTGGTGCCAGTGGCTGCCAAAGGATCCTCTGCACAGTGTCCTGCCCTGGGTCCCGTCCTTCCTGCCTGCCACCTCTCAGTCAGAGGCTTTGGGCCTCCTGCAGGTGCACTCCTCCAGTTGAGGGGGCTCATGCTGCCCGCGCCAGGACCCCCTTGCTCTCAGGCTGGACAGGACTCCACATACAGGCCATGCCTTATCCACCATGCATGGACACACAGGTGCTTTCCATCTTTTACTATTGTGAACAACCCTGTGGTGGACACGGGGGGAATGGACAGCTCTCTGAGACCCTGCTTTCGATTATTTTGATGACATGCTCCCAGGCATGGCTGGGTCATCTGGGCCTCTGGGGCCCGACAATGTGCAAGGCCTCAGCCTTGGTTCTCCATCTTTGCCACCACTTCCTGTTGATGGCTCAGCCTGAGGGCCAAGAGGTGGATCTCACTAGTGACCTGCCTTTCCTCAATGACCAGAGACACGCGTGTCTCCCTGTGCTTACTGCACATTTGTCCATCCTCTTGGGTGCAACATCTGCTCAAGTCCTCTGCCCATTTCAGAACCTCTGTTCTGTTGTTGTTGAATCTCAGACCTTCCCCACTGACCCTGGTTCCCAGGAGGCTTGCTACTATTGAGTGCGCCCTTTGACCCTGGTTCTGGATGCGGCTACTGCTGATGCGCCCTTTGATTTTCATAAGAGTCCAAGTTGCCCATTTCATCGCCTATGCCTTTGACATACCCAAAACACCATCGCCAAATCCAACATCATAGTGGCTTTGCCCTGTTTTTAGAATTTTATATTTTAGGCCTCACAGTTACTTCGTGGATCCATTTTAAACTTTTTGGTATGAGGGACTGAACCCAGCACATCCTACTGCTGAGCCACATCCCCAGGCCTTTTCTTCTTTTTCTGTGGTGCTGGGGACTGGACCCAGGGCCTTGTGCAAGAGACAAATGCTCTACCAACTGAGCTGTGTCCCCAGCCCTCTTGTAGTAAGTTTTGAAACCAGGAAGTGAGAGTCTTTTAGCTCTGTTCTTTTTCAAGATTATTTTGGCTATTTGTGATCCCTTGAGGTCTCTTTTAAATTTTAGGGTGATCTATTTCTGAAAAAAAAAAAAAAAGAAAGAAAAAGAAAAATTCTTTGGGATTTTGATGGGGTTTACATTAGAGCTGTAGGTTGCTTTGGGTGGTATTGGCATCTTAACCAAATCCAACCTTCTGACCATGGACCATTTACTTATTTTCTTTCATAAATGTTAGTAGTGCTCATTGTATATATCTTACCAAAGTACTGTGTCTTAAAAATATGATCATGGGCTGGGGATGTGGCTCAAGCAGTAGCGCGCTTGCCTGGCATGTGTGCGGCCCGGGTTCGATCCTCAGCACCACATACAAACAAAGATGTTGTGTCCGCCGAAAACTAAAATGTAAATAAAATATTAAAAAAAAAATATGATCATAGGGTTGAGGCTGTGGCTCAGTGGTAGCATGTGTGAGGCACTGGGTTCAATCCTCAGCACCACATAAAAATAAATAAATAAAATAAAGGAATTGTGTCCATCTACAACTAAAAACTATTAAAAAATATGATCATAAATGAAATTGTTTTTTTTTTTTTTTTTTAAATTGTTTCTTGATTCTCTTTTTGGATTGTTCACTCTCAGCGTATGGAAGTGCAAGTCATTTCTGCATGTTGACTTGTATCCTGTTGCTTTGCAGAATTCATTTATTTTTAACGCACGTATGAGAAGCCGCGAGGGTTTTCTGCACACAAGCATACGATCTGTGAACAGAAATAATTTTACTTCCTCCTTTCCAACTCGGATGCCTTTTCTTTTTCTTGCCTAATTGCTCCAGCTAGAACTTCCAATCCTGCGTCCAGTACAAGTGGCAAAGCGAGCCCCTCAGCCTTGTGCCTCGCCTTGAAGGAAAATCTTTCCATCTTCTCCTACCCACTGTGATGTTGCTATAGATTCTTCGTGTGTAGTTCTTATTATGTTGACGTCAATCCCTCCTGTTTGTTGTGTCTGTCATTAAAGAATATTGAGTTTTGTCAGATACCTTTTCTGTGTTATCTGTGATGGTCACGTCACATGGTTTCCCTTCATTCTGTAAAGGTGAGGTATCACACTGGTTGATTTCCATGGTTGACCCATCCTTGCATTCTAGGATCAACCCCCAGTTGATCACATATATAACCTTGTTAACATGCTGCTGAATCTGGTTTGCTAGCATGGTGCTCAGGATTTTTGCACCAGTGCTCATAAGGAATGTTGGTCTGCAGTTTTCCTCCAGTGTCTCTGTCTGCCTTTGGAATCGGGGTGTTTACTTTCATGGGATAAATTGAGGAATGTTCTTTCCTCTTCAAATTTTTTTTTTAACTCTGAAAAATATTAATTTTTGTTTTTTTTAAATGTTTATTTTTTAGGAGTAGATGGTCACAACACAATGCCTTTATTTTTTTTTTTAATGTGGTGCTGAGGATCAAACCCAGGTCCCGCCTATGCTAGGCGAGTGCTCTACTGCTGAGCCACAATCCCAGCCCCAATTTTTGTTTTCTTGTAAATATTTTAGAATTTATTGGTAAAAGCACCAGGTCCAGGGAGATTTTCAATTACTGATCCAACCTCCTATTAAGTTGTGGGTTGTTCTATTTCTTCATGGTGTAGTCATGGGAGGTTTTGTGTCTCTAGGAATCTGTCCATTTCATCTAGGTTACACAATCTGTTGGCATACATCTGCTCACAGCTATTTTCTAATTCTTAGAATTGGTAGTAACAGCCCAACTTCCATTTCTGATTTTAGTAACCTGAATCTTTTCTTCACTTGTGTGTGCCTGTTAACCAGGGGCTCACACATTCTAGGCAAGTGCCCAACCACTGAGCCACATCCCCAGCCCTTTTAAAATCTGGGACAGAGCTCTCTCAGTCTACCTAGTTAAAGGTTTGTCAGTTTTATTCTTTTCAAGGTAGTAATTTTTGTGTCATTTTTCTATTATTTTCCTGTTCTGTTTCATCTGGCTGTACTCTGACTTACTTTATCATCACCTTGCCTTGGCTTTAGGTTGCTTCTTTTTGCTGTGGCCTTCCTCTGGTCTGGTGAGTATAGGTAACAGGTCCTCTTCCTTTATTAAAGTTTAGTGGTCACCCGAGATGACACACCTGACGTCTTAGTATCTGCTTTATTTTTTCAGCACCAGATGAATCTAGAGCCTGGCCCACCAAGCTACCCCCGCCAACCCCCATCCTTATCTTGAGACGGGGTCTCACTAGCTGCCCAGGCTGGCTTCCGACTTGCCCTCCTCCTGCCTCAGCCTCCGAGCAGCAGGGGTGGCAGGTGTGGCCATGCAGCCCTGCACTCCCCTCCCACCTCTGTGCGTCCCCTACAGGCCTCATGTAAACCTGTTCTCAACTCGGGAAGGTGCTGCTTCTCTGTCCGTCCGTGTGGACTCCTGCCACAGGTCTAGGGACGAGCCTCTGGCTGCACATCTCCAGGGGTGCTGCAGGGTCGCTCTGCTGGGATGAACTAGAGTTGTTGTTGTCTGAAAACTTCATCTCACCCTATTTTTTGTGGAAACTTTTCCCTGGGTCTGTAGATCTAGATCCAAATGATTTTCTCCCAGCACTTCTAGGGTGTCATCCCACTGTTCCGGTAACACCAGTTTTAAAGTTGGCTGATACTGCACTCTTCCTCTGAAGGGGGTCTTTCCCCCCCGTTTTTTTTTTTTTTTTTGGTATAGGGGATTGAACTCAGGCACTTGCCACTGAGCCACACCCCCAGCCCTATTTTGTATTTTATTTAGAGACAGGGTCTCACTGAGTTGCTTAGGGCCTCGCTTTTGTTGAGGCTGGCTTTGAACTTGCGATCCTATCTCAGCCCAAGCCACTGTGGCTACAGGCATGCGCCACCATGCTTGCCCTTCCCCCGGTTTTAAGATTCCCTATCTGGTTCTCAGAGCTTTGCTGTGCCTGGTGTAGGCCGTTTTAATTTTTGGGCTGCTGGGAATGGAACCCAGGGCCTCGCTCATTCTAGGCAAGCACTCTGCCACTGAGCTGCACCTCAGCCCTTATCATGGTGCCAGCCTAGTCCTATTTTAGTGAGTCTGATTTTTTAGAGTGAGTCAAACTGTATATATGCACAGGTGTAGACACTATAGTCTTCTGACAGTAAAACCAAAAGGCAGGATGGGGCAGGTCACCCCAGTGGTTAAGCAGGAGACAGCTGGGGTGGTCCAGGCCTGTGAGGGCTGCTCTGTGGTCTCACTGGGAACCTCAGAGCGTTTTCTGCCTCCTCCACACCTGGTTGTCTCCTGGAGCGGTGCCCATGCAGGGCAAAGCAAGCTGCCAGGTCGCTTCTGAGGCTCTTCTCTCTCCAAGACCT